ATGTGAAAACTAAAAATTTGCCGCTACCTTTCTTTTCATAAGAAAATCGTGTTCGAAAATAAAATAATGTCTTGCTAATTTAACGTAAAGTTAGCGAGATCACTAAAAATGTCGGTAGTGATAAATTGAGTGAGTGGAAAATATCGCGTTTGAAAAAAATATGATGTGTTTCGCTAAGTTGACATCAAGTGCGCAAAACAGTATCATTAAAAATGTCGGTAGAGAAAAATGGAGTGATAGAGAAAAGCTGTGGAAATTTGCCGCTTTTTTTCTCCATGAAAAAATCGTGTTTAAAAAAAACTTGTGTTTCGCAAGCTTGCCGTTAATTTAGACCGACATCATCACAAAAAACGAAGGGCAGTATAAAATTAGGTGAGTAAAAGGGTGTTCCGTTATAAATGATCTCCCACCCTTGATTTTTATGCACCCTGTAAGTATATTTTAATTAGTGAAGCTCAACATTTGTTGGAACAAATATTTATTTCTAAATTTTTTGAAAATAGTTTTTCAGTTTTTTTTTTCTTTAGCTTAGGAAAACTCTATTAGAGGCCTTATAGATTTCAAAAATCAGAAAGCGAAATATCGTGTGCTCATTTATACAGAAAATAAAATAAAATTAAATTGGGATAAAATGGAAATTATCGATAATTTTTGGCAAATTTTCCCGAATGCATTTTTAGTTGAAAAAAAGCACGAGGGACGAGTGCCTTTTCCAGTTAAAAATGCACGAGAGCAAATTTCTCAAAAATTATAGATATATTTCCATTGCTCGAGTTGTATTTTATGAGAGAATTTCAGTATAAAAGTCACCAATCAGAAAAAAATGTTAAATGCCACCCGTTAGTAAGCAATTATCCAATCCGATAATCCTGCACTAGTACAAATTATCACGTAATCGTAATCTGATTGGTTGAAATCAACAATTAAAAATGCCAGTTTATGCATGGGATCTGTGTCATTTGCGCGAGGGAGAAAAGCGCGATACAAAAAGCGCGAGGGACAAAATCACGACGGAACAAAAACGCGACAGGACAAATGCGCGATGGACAAAAACGCGACTGGATAGAAGCGGGAGGAACAAAAGCGCGAGGGACAAAAGCGCACGACTGCGCAAAAACGCGACTGGATAAAAGCGCTAGAAGCAAAAGCGCGAGCGACAAAGCGCGAGGGGACAAAAGCGCGACAGAACAAAAACGCAACTGGATAAAGCGCGATTGGTCAAGAACGCGAAGTGCCTTACTACGAGAACTGAAGATCGTTTTCCAAAATACAAGATATTTTCGGTGGCTCCGGTTCAAAAGAACGATATTTAAAATAGCAACATCAAAAAGGCGACATATTGTTAAAGAGATATATCAAAATAGCGACATTTGGAACAGCGATATTCAAAATAGCGACATCTAAAAAAAACAGCAACATATCAAAAGAGCGACATATGTAAAGAACGAGATTTAGAACAGTGACAAATTAAAAGAGCGACATTTACAACGACGACCTCTAAGCAAAAGAGGGAAACATCAAATTCTTCCAATATTAATCAAAATTATGTACACTTACTCAAACTAAACCGTCCATCTAGGGCAATCTCGTCCTCGTGAGTTAGCATTTTATTTAAAAAGCACTGCGCTCTCAAGAGACCCTGAGCAATCAGTGAATTAACTTTGTTTTTTTTAAATAAAATGCTTACGAGGACTAGATCGTACTATAGTATTTTTAATACCTATTTAGAAGTACCTGTCGTTTTAGTGACATAACGTATGTCGCATCTTGACACACAAATAAAATTAGGTTAGGAATTTCCTATTTGTAGATGAAATTGACGTATTAGCAATCGACGTTCGTTTTTGTTGGTAATTTTTTGTTTCATCTGATTCGTGATTGATAAATAAGGATGGGGTTATTCTAAATGGGTATTACAAATACTATAGGTGGACGGGTTATTTTGGGTTAGTTTGAGTAAGTCTGTATTGCGACATCAATTTGAACCAATAATAATAAAGCAAATACAGACTTGCTCAAACTAACCCAAAATAACCCGTCCGCCTAGTGCGATCACTGCGATCTAGTACTCGTAAGTTAGCATTTTATCCAAAAAAACAGTCAATTTATTTATAGTGTAGGGTCCCTTGACCGCGCCTTGTTTTTCAAATAAAATTTTATTCAGCGAAGACTAGATCGCACTAGGCGAACGGGTTAGTATGGGTTAGTTTGAGTAAGGCTGCATTTTTCTGATTATTATTGATACAATTTGATGTGTCCCTCTTTTGCTTACAGTCCTCGTAGATAGTTAGACACGCTTTTGTTTCTCGCGCTTTTAGTATCGCGCTTTTCTCCCTCGCGCAAACGACTGTCGCGCAAATGACACAGAGCCCAGTTTATGGTTCGAATACCAGTTTTGACAGATGAATGAAATTTTCTACCGACATTTTTATTGATACTGTTTTGCTAACTTGATGTCAAGTTAGCGAAATACATGATATTTTTTTCAAACGCGATATTTTCTTGTAGAAAAAGAGCTAATTAGCGGCAAATTTCCACTCACTCAATTTATCACTACCGACATTTTTAGTGATCTCGGTAACTTTACGTTCGTTAAATTAGCAAAACACTATTTTATTTTCGAACACGATTTTCTTATGAAAAGAAAGGTAGCGGCAAATTTTTAGTTTCCACATCTAATTAGCGGCAAAAAATCGGCAAATTTCCATTCACTCAACTCATCACTACCGACATTTTTAGTGATATTGTCTCGCTATCTTGACGTCAAGTTAGCGAAACACATGATTTTTTTTTTCAAACTTGATTTTTTGTAAAAAAAAGCAGCAAATTTTTGGTTTTCACAACTAATTAGCGGCAAAAAAACGGCAAATTTCCATTCACTCAATTTTTCACTACCGACATTTTTGATGATAATGTCTCGCTAACTTGACGTCAAGTTAGCGAAACAAATGATTTTTTTTTCAAACTTTATTTTTTATGAAAAAAAAAAAACCGGCAAATTTTTGATTTTCACAACTAATTAGCGGCAAAAAAACGGCAAATTTTCAAGTACCTAGTTTTTTAGTGCTGACCTATTTAGTGATGTTGTCTCGCTATCTTGACGTCAAGTTAGCAAACGACGTAATTAAGAAAAAACCAAAAGAGTGGCAAATTTTTTAATTCCACATCTAATTAGCGGCAAAAAAGCGGCAAATTCTTGGCATAATGGAAAATCGATTTTTCGAAGTTGTCTCGCTAAGTTGATAGACATTGGAGATTTGCATTATTTTAGGCATCCAGATGACGTCATAAAAGTTATCAGCCAACCTACCTCTTTCAAACAACCTTGGTTTCAAACATTAAAAGGTTTTCAACCAATGAAATTCACTCCGACTGGTTTGTGATTTCTATGGGAACAGACCTATTATGTTATATGTCTTTCTTTTTTTTTTTTTTTGTTAAGAGGTACCGAGAGAGGTACTAAAACGGGCTATGAAGTCAATAAAATTTGCAACTAGTGCTTTCTCCACTCACCTGTCCCAAAACTTTAGATGTGTACAGCATTCATACGAAAAAAATATGGTCACCCTACCCTTGCATGGGCCATATTTCGGAATTTCATCTTTTTGCACAAATAACTGAGTTGTTTAGACAAAATTAGCCTCGAAATTAGCTAATGCATGAAAATGCAGAGATTCATCCATCCTCTTTCATTCATGCAAACATGGACCCTAAGTATATGGTGTCACAGTAGTCTAATTTGGAGAGAACTAAAGAATCGCACAGTCTTAACCATGCACTTAAGAGAAGATAGTTTTTTAAATCATCTTCCTGTCCTTTGACTCTCCAGAGAATATGGTGAAGTCTGACATAATGTCTCAAATGCTTGGATAGTGGTTCTCCATCCCTATCTATCCTGATCTGCTAAAGAAACTTCTTGCAGACCATGGCCAATAATTTCTTGATCCACCCATCCTCTTGGTCCCTTACCATTAATTTATCCTTTGACAGTTTTTCCAATCTGTCTGCTCTTTTTTAAATTTATTCAAAGTACCGCCGCAGGTATAACTTCTTTTGGTTGAAAGTCTTGTAGTGTCTTTTAGATGCTCAAGAATTGATACGTGGGAACGTGGATGTTCTGTGTACGAACTTCGGAGCATTCATCTGGAGGCCCACATTTCAAAAGAAACTAGTTTTCTTTGGTTGCTAGTTTTTAAAGTCCAGGTCTCAGAGGCATATTATGTGGCAATGGGAAAGATCAAGGTGCTCAGTAGTTTTAGGTTGTTGCTTTAGGATATTGCAGTGTCTTTTCATATTCATGTTATTTTTGTTGTTGAATTACGTGCTATTAATTGACAGTCTACATTTTATTTCTTCGCCATATCCTCTTTTGTTAGTTATTTGCATTGGTTAGGAGATCTTTTGCCACCTTATTAGCAGATTGAGGAAAGGATGTATTTTAAGCCTAAAAAGACGCAAAGGACACAGGCTTATATGCAATCTCTTCCTAGTGAAGTTAGAAGACTTAAAATAGGACAGGGTGTACCTAGGTATATCCTCTCCCATTAAAATGAAACAACTTGTGGAAACTTTAATCCTCGCTTCAATCCATTTGGTTTCCACATTCAGGCGCTGTCCGCTCTCTGTGTATTCCTTCTACTTCTTATCTTTGATATGAAAAGTTGTTTCAACTATACTTGAAATACATTTTACCATTGATGTTAAATGTTAAATGTTAAATAATCATCAATCAATGAAATACAAAATGAAACCTCATTGTAGATTCTAGGTACCTAATCGGTGCCAATCAAGAAGAAAACGCACTTTAACGAATAAGTAGGTATTAATTAGCAGTAAATTAATACTTTTTTCCATAAAAATTGCAAATGATATATTATGGGAAAATGGGCAATGGGCATATATATTCTATATATAAGAATAAATCAAATCATAGCAAATATGTATAATTTTAAAACAAACAAATTCAAATAAATAATTATCTCGATAATTATTATTCTTACCTTCAATATTAGTTGTCCACCCATCCTTAGTTTGAATTTGGGGCTCAATATAGGTAAGTATATTGTCGCAAACTACATTTAAGCAAGCTTCTTCCAAGGAAATAGAATTTTCATACATTTTCAATAATTATATTGATCCTCTATTTAAGAATGAAGATAAAAGGAAAATTTAACTATTCAGTTTTTGATTACTCTTGGTGAATCCATTTATGAAGTCATAATTTTTTTTAAAAAAGATGTTTAGCTTAAATTAATTTTTTGTTCACCCAAATTTTAGGAAAATAAATAAATTAAAATACAAATTTTCAACAAGACTCACAAAGTGAAGCTGTCACTCTCAGCTGGGCACTGGTTTGCAGTTTGCCTTTAAATTTTCTCACAAAAATGCGATTTCTTCAAATAAAATTATCTAGAAAAACGCACATAAAGAAATAATATTGTTTCTGGAAAGATCAGAGATCACTGACGTTAATAATTAGTTTTTCATTTCACATCGTTTCGTAAACAATAAATTATTTATCTTTTGATTGGCAAGATAAAATTTCCCGCGAGTTTTTTTAAATTCTAATTGTGGCTGTTAGGGATTTTTTGGTTCTACTGTTGGCAACACTATTTAGGACTTTTTTGCTTGCAGCTGCTGATTTATGTCATTCGCTTTATTGAGTTGGTAACACTACGAAAGAAAAAAACTCCCGCTCAAACTTGTTTGGAGGGCTTAACAAATTTCAGTTTTTTTTTTATTAGTTTTTCCCATTAATTTCCATTAAAATCAACTAAAAACGTGTCAAGTATACTCGGAATCGTTTATAGAACCTCTGTAGTGATATCGCGACATAAATTTCCTGGAAATAGTGATAAATACCGGTATTTTCCAAACACAAGCTTTTGTTCTATAAAAAAAAAATGGCAAAAGTTCAACTTTGCAATATTACGGTTATGGACAATCCGAGCCCCTTTTTGAACCCGTTTCAATTCGAAATCACGTTCGAGTGTATTGAAGAACTTAAGGAAGGTAAGCTGATTTGAAATATGTAGTAGTATTTCAGCCACATGCTGAAATGCATATTTATTGAGGCAAACTCAATGCTTGAAGGCATGGAAGCTCATAGTCAAGTTACTAGTAGAGCCAAGATTTAAAATCCAAATGAAAAAGACACATATTTTTGATTTGAATACCTAGATTAGTAGGAGTGGGACCGAGAGTAAGATTGAATTAAGAATCTACTGGTAAGACCCTGTTAGCTTGACGTAACGTAAACTTACCTTAAAATCAAAAGGTATAAGTCGAGGTATAAGTAATCTTTCTAAAGTCAGTTGAAACCAGGTAAAGGTAAATTACAACTGGTGACTGAATGATATTTTCTTGAGAAATGCACTGCCACTAGTCAGCCACCAGTTGCAATTTATTAATACCTTGTTTCAGTTGACTCTGGAAATACTATACCCTCTGTGCTGAGGTAAACTTGAAGTCAGTTCCGTTAGGGCTGAATTTATAGTCGCTCCTTGAGGTTTCCTATTCCTTGGACCTTAAGAAATCCTTGGATGTTTAGAATTGACATGATGATAATCTTGTCAAATAGTTATGAGTGTCCATTCTAAACTAACGACCCCCAAGGAAGCCTCAAAGAACGAGTATAAATTTGGCACTTAGGTGAGTCTTTCAAGATTCACCTTGAATGCAGGAAACTTTGATATATTATGGTCAAACTTATGTAAGACTTATCGTTATTCTCTTGGTTATTCTAAGGTGACATTGAAATACCCGAGAAAATACCAATTGTATGGTTTCTTGTTAAACCAGCTCATTGAGGTACCCAGATAACTATTCCATCTTCCAACAACAATACCAGAAATCAATGCAGAAGCACCCCATGTCGAAGTTACATCCTCCTGGAGTTCACCCCTGATGATAGTCTTTTTTCTTATTTCTCAGACCCCTGTTGTATTATGTATAGAAATGTGCTTTTGAGTATAATTTGTGCTCCATGGAAAGTTGCTAGTCATCTAAAAATTTCAATTCCTGTTTTAGTAAGTAAATTTCTCATTCCTCAAAAACATACCTTTCAAGCAGGTTACTTAGTTAATACCTCGGTTAATAGGATTATTTGAACTTAGTTCAGAATTGAACTGCGCTTGCATATACATATAAACAAATGCGCAAATGCAGTTCATTTTCATTTCATTATACTTTATTGTCCAAAAAAATAAATCTTATTGACAAGGTATTCAACTATACTTAGCTAACTTGGTAAAACAATTATTATAAAATTACTGATAACTGATCAATGTGTGCTAAAAATTTTAAGTTCTTATCTACAATTGGGCCTAGAAATTTGACATCTTTTCTATTTTTAATTCCATTGTTGAGGATTTCTGCACTGGAAACGTCACAGTTAAAAGACATGGGCAGTTTGGTTTCCGGAGTTCCAAGAGCATGAATGATGCAATTTTTGCATTTTTGGAAAAACTCTATTTGAGTCTGAATGATGGAGAAGTTGCGGCGGCAGTGTTCTGTGATTTTTCAAAAGCTTTTGATTGCGTAAGTCAGGGAATACTGGCGCGGAAACTTCATCATTACGGCATTCAGGACACTCCTTTAAACTGGTTCAACTCTATGCTCACAGAAAGATATCAGTTTGTGAGCGTAAATGGAGTTAACTCTGAATGTAATAAGGTTCTGCATGGGGTTCCTCAAGGATCCGTCTTGGGCCCAATACTGTTCTTAATATGCATAAATGACTTGCTATCACTGCCAATTGTAGCAAAATTAACAGCTTTTGCTGATGATGCAAACGGACTGTGGACCACCAGAAAATCGAGTTTGGATCAAAACTTAGACCAGTTCAAGGCAACCATAGAAGCTGATCTTTTGGAGATAAGAAAATGGTGCGATACAAATAAACTTTGCTTCAATGTACAAAAAACGAACATCCTAACATTTAAGTGCAATATAACAAATGTTAAGTTGCAGGACGAAACTCTCGAAGGCAAACCATCCGTGAGATATTTGGGACTGCATATTGATGCACTCCTCAAGTTTGAGGGCCATATTGAAATTTTAAATAGAAGACTGGCTAGTGCATGCTATATTATTAGGACTATTGCGCACAAGCTTGGCAAAACTACTGCAAAAAATGCATATTTCTCTATAATGGAGTCACACATCCGGTATGGTATAGCTTTCTGGGGCTACTCCACTAAAAAATCACTCCAGGCAGTGTTTGTTCTTCAGAAGAGGGCTGTGCGTTACTTGTGCAAGAAAAAATGCACAGAATCATGTAGACCGTTGTTTGTACAGGAGGAAATAATGACAGTGCCATCTCTTTTTATATTGGAATCGGTGAGCCTTGTCTATAAAACGAATGCCGGTTCTGTTCAGGCAAGTAACTATAACCTCCGACAAAATAATGTACCCTTACCAATCCCTAAATTTACACTCACGAAAAATTCAGTTATTTATGAAAGTATTAAAATGTACAATCATTTACCGCAACAAATTAAAGAATGCTCTAATTATAAAGCATTTCGTTTGTGTGTCAAACAGCATTTAACTACCAAAGCCTTGTATAGTGTAAGTGAATTTTATGATGAAAATGCATTATGCAATACTTGAGTGGAATTTGGGTTTTTTAGTCAAAATTTTTTATTTTTTTATTTTTTTTAAGACAATTTTAGCTTGTGTACTGTAATTTTATGTTTTAGGAGGTTAGGTTAGGTTAAGTATTTGCTTTGTCAATAAAAATGTATCTGTTTTTTTTTGGACAATAAAGCTTATTTGATTTGATTTGACATGATATTTGTTTTCGACAGGGTAAAGCGTGCGTTAACTTGAGTTTTGGCCAGGTCGTTAACATAAATCAAAAACAAAATCGGCCCCAAGACTGTTTCCTGAGGCACCCCCAATGAAGTAGTAAGAAGGTTGGAATAGCCCTTCGCCTATCTACTCAATACATATATTGATATATATATATATCAAAATGAATTGGAGCATACAATAAGACAGCAAAATGAATGGATAGAAGATGGCGAGGAGTTAACAATAAATTTCATCAAGAAGGTAACATTCAAGGGAACATCAACTATATATTTTGAATGCTCACCAAAATTATATTGGAAAATGTTGAACCAGAAGAAAGTCTCTATTGGATGGGAAAGATACAGTGTATATGAGAATGTAAGTGTAAGTAGATGTTTCAAATGCCAAGAATATTTTCACAAAAGTGGCAATTGCGAGAATAATGTCACCTGTGAGTACTGTGCTGAACGCCATGATAGTAAAGAATGTACAAAACAAATAAAGAAATGTAAAAACTGCTGTAATGCAAATAGCAAATTTAAATTACAGTATGACACAAATCATGCAGCATCAAACCCAGAATGTCCTTCCACTAAGTACCACATAGACCTAATAAGAAGCAAAACTAATTATGACTTTCCATAATGGTACAATTAGTGCAAGATGAACTTTTAGAAGGCATGCAAGCTGAAACTAATAAAAAAACAATTTTAGTGGATAGTGATGGTTTACGAAAGAAAGTAAAAAGAAATAATATTGTTCTTAATTTATTGCATACTAACATTCGAAGTATGGTAAAAAATATTGATAATTTGATACTGCTCTTGAAAACTTTTGAATTGGATTATAATGACATTATTGTCTTAAGTGAAACATTTAAAATCTCCTCAATAGATCAATGTAATATACCTGGTTATCAAATGTTTTACAATTATGCTGATTATAACAAAAATGACGGTATTATAATTTTAGTAAAGAATCATATTGATAATGTCAAATTTCAAGTTATCAGGCTACCAATCTCTTTAGCTACTGTAAGCAGATTAACATGTGTTGTAAATGGTTTCAAGATTGGTATAACTGCGGTATATAAACCGCCACCCATATCTAAGACGGATTTTATTGAAGATGTTCAAACTTGTCTGGGAAACATAACTAGTTATAGTGATAACAATTTTGAATTTTTTTTGGGTGACATAAACATGGACTTGTTAGATGTAGGGAATAATGAGGTGTATAACTATTTGTCAATGATGTCTCAGTTGGGATTCGAGTCGTACATAAATAATGTGACCAGATTTGATAGTAATACTTGTCTTGATCATATTTTTGTTAACAGCAGGCTAAAGCTCAATTGCCTAACCTTAGAAACATACATTTTAGACTCTCACATGACGGACCATGGACCTACCATGCTTAATGTGGTCTCAAGGGATGCTAGAATCTATAACAATAATGAAGTAATAAAAACCAGTTCATTTGACCTGTGCAAGTTTATAGCATCTCTAAGAGCTCAGGATTGGTCCTTGGTTCTTGATGACTCTGACCCTGAGTCGTCAAATTCAAAATTTATTTCAACTTACAAAGACTTGATGTTACAAGCAACTACTCAACACAGCAAAAAAGTAAAACAGTATAAAAAAATAAAAAAATGGATAACCAATGGAATAATCACCTCCATTAAACACCGAGATAAGCTTAAAAGAAAGTTACTGCGAAATTATGATCCTGATCTGGAAAACGAATACAAAAGATATCGAAACCAATTAAATAAACTGATTGATAAACAAAAAAATGAATATTACAAAACTCAGATTAATAACAATAAAAATAACATCAAAAAAATATATGAAATAATCAAAGATGTTACATATGAAAATACAAATGACAAAATAAATAATATTAAAATAACGGATAATGCTGGTATTGAACTGAAAAATGATTTAGACATAGCCAATCACTGTAACGAATATTTTATTAATGTTGGTGAAAAAATGGCAGAAACAATTCCAAAACCTAAATTTTCAATTAAAGCAGATTTTAGTTTAAAAAATTCTATGTTTCTTTCGCCAGTATGCGAAAATGAGTTAATCAAACATATCTCGTCGTTAAAGAGTACAAGTGCTCCAGGTTTGGACAGAGTAAGTTCTAAATTAATAAAACAAACACATATTGAAATTTTGAAACCGTTGTTACATATAATTAACAGAAGTTTTGCAACGGGAATTGTGCCTTCCCACTATAAAGCATCAGTTGTCACACCTGTTCATAAGAGCGGTTCAAAATCACTGATAGAAAACTATAGGCCTATAAGTTTGGTGAGTGGCTTTGCCAAACTGTTTGAAAAGTGTGTTAAGGACAGACTTGTTGAGTTTTTCAGAATTAACAATATACTGTCAGGAAACCAGTACGGTTTTTTGCAGGGATGTAGTACTGAAGATGCTATGCATAGACTAACATCGGAGATTACCAGCCATTTGAACAATGGTAAAAAATGTGCTGCCATTTTCATTGACCTGGCCAAGGCATTCGACACTGTTTCCCATGATAAACTCCTAGATGTCTTATGGCAATATGGAGTCAGGGGAACGGTGTGGAAATTGTTTCAAAGCTACCTTCATGAGAGATCTCAAATAGTAAAAATTAATAATATTTTGAGTGTTGAAAGGGTCATCAAGATGGGAGTGCCACAAGGAACAGTGCTTGGTCCAGTCTTGTTTGTCACATACATTAATGGTCTACTTTCTTTAAATGTTAATGGATCTATAATATCATACGCCGATGATACTGTACTGCTTTTTAATGGCAATACTTGGGAAGATGTTAAAGATAAAATGATACAGGGTTTAAAGATTACAAAAAATTGGTTGGAAAGTTTTAAATTATCTCTAAATTTGAAGAAAACAAATTATATTGCTTTTTCTCTAACAAGTGCTAACCGACCTACTTTCTCAAATATTACAGTCAATAATCAAAAAGTTGAAGAAGTTTCCCATACAAAGTATCTTGGCATAATAATTGACCAGTTTCTGAAGTGGCTTCCACATATTGAGTACCTATCAAATGGAATTCGTGGATTAATTCGTAAATTTTACCTGCTTAAGCAGGTTCTGAGCAGACAAATGTTAACTGTTATATACAAAACCCTTGTCGAGTCTTTGATTAGGTACGGAATTTTGGTATGGGGAGGATTATATGATAATGCTCTTCAAAAATTAAATGTTGCGCAGAAATATATATTGAAAATTATGTATGGCAAAAATAGGTTGTATCCTACAGAGTTACTTTTTTCGGATGAAATATGTAATATAAGAACATTGTATATGGTATCGGTAGCTGCATTTATCCATCAAAATAAATATCTTCAAAATATAATAAGCGATCAATACGAAACTCGGGGGAAGATAAATGCAGACATTGTAATTCCGTTAAATTTTAATAACATTAATCTAAGAAGTGCAGCATACCTCGGTCCTAAAATCTACAATATGTTATCAAGGAGTTTGAAGGTGACTAATAATATTTATAGGTTTAAGATTAACTGCAAGAAATTTTTATATAAAGAATATAAGAAATTTGAATATCTTTTTAAGTAATTATTCTAATATTAAGGAAATACTTATTACTTATTAAAAAAAGTATTATTACTTATTAAAAAAAAGAAAGAAATGGAATCTGGTACATACAAATAACTCTGTTATTTAGGTACCAATAAGTACTTTTGCTTTGATAGGTTAATTAAATTTAGTTTCCCTCTGTAAATTGTAATGATGCTAATTGATAAATTTTGTAGGGTAAATGACATTCAAATGGAAAGATAAAATAAATTGTATGGAGCACGGTTTTACGTGGGATGTAATTTTGCAAATAACTTGTTGATTATTTTACTTGAATAAAATTATCTTATCTTATCTTATCTTATTTGCGGCCAACATTAGAGTGAGAGAACAGGAGAGATCCATGAGATTTTCTTGCCCTTACTAGCGCTATCTCACTCAGGGTTAGAAAGAGATATGGGAGATCCAATATATTTCTTGCCCTTACTAGCGCTATCTCATTCTGGAATGAACTGAATGACGCAAAGCTCATTCCATACCTCTCTCTACTTCATTGGGCATCCCGCTGCTAATATTTAAATCAGCTGACGATTTCCCCAACCAATCCACCCTCTGTGATCTATCAGATAGGTAAGAATAGAACCAATCATAATAGTCTAAGATCCGAATAGGAAAGGATTTGCACCCATCTGTTTATTGGATAAAAATTATTTTATATCAAAGTTAGTATGTTAAAAAAAATATCAGGTGTGGGTTGGCTAAAAAATTCCTGGCCAGACTATTATTAATAAATAATTCAAAAATTATAATTGTTAAAGGCATTGCACTCATTTGTTTAACGAACAAATTCCATACTAATCGAAAGTATAGGGCATAAAGAATATAAAAACGTTGGATTGTCTATTTTTTTCCTGGCATAACTATCGGGTTGGCAGGTTTGAACAGGTGAGTCGATACTAGTAATTCACACCCATCTGTTTAATGAATAAATCTTACATCAAAAATAAGTAATTTTATTGCGAACACGATGATATAGGGTTGTCGGCGAAAAATCTGGCCTGAATGACGGTTGGCGAGCTTTGAAAAGCGAAATTTTGGTGCGGATGGAAATATGCAACAGAGTGGTGTATGATTTATACATTAAACAGATGGGTGTAAATTACTAGTATCGACTCACCTGTTCAAACCTGTCAACCCAATAGTTATGCCAGGAAAAAAATAGACACCCCAATGTTTCTATATTCTTTAGGCCCTATACTTTCAATTAGTATGAAATTTGTTCGTTAAACAAATGAGTGCAATGCCTTTGACAATTATAATTTTTGAATTATTTATTAATAATAGTCTGGCCAGGAATTTTTTAGCCAACCCACACCTGATATATTTTTTAACATACTAACTTTGATATAAAATAATTTCCACCCAATAAACAGATGGGTGCAGATCCTTTCCTATTCGGATCTTCTACTATAAGTTCTTCCTACAAACCCATACCTTCCAAGCTTGCGCAGCAGTATTCTGTGAACAACACAATCGAATGCCTTTGAGAAATCACAGAACACCGCCGCCACAAAGTCACCAGAATTAAAGTCAAAAGTCAAAGTCAAAAATAGCTTTATTCGCATCTAACATAAATGTTGTGTACAAAGCCTTGGTAATAAAATGTAATTGTAAATAAGTACCTAAAACTATATATAAATACATAAAAAAAGAGCATAAAAAATAAAATTATGTCATCAGATATATAGGAAATTAAAAAAATAGAAAAATGAATAAAACAGGTAATTCAAACATGAATTAAATCCCTAAAATAAAGTCTTATGGACACAACAAAACAAAGAAAAACAACCTATTATATGTACATTTACAGGAGTACAGGAAAATAAAATGTCACAAGGAACTCGCAGACAATAGTAGTCAAACACAATAAAACTTAACCTAAGAGATCAGTAAAAAATTCGTCCAAGGTTTAATATGCCTTTGTTAGCAATAGCCTCTTAACTGACCTTCTGAATCTCCTCGCACATCGTTGCCGTCTCAAACACAAAGGAAGATGATTAGTAGATGATTAATTAATAGCACTATACACTATACACCTCCTCCAGAAAAGCATACATGGCATTATTAGTGCCCTTTGATGGCTGGAACCTGTACTGACTAGGAACCAACATATCATTTTTAGTAAGATGGTCCGTAACCCGCTTTTTTACTATTTGTTCAATTATTTTCGAAAGCGTAGGTAACAGTGAAATGGGTCGATAATTAGAGGGGTCATCCCTCATACCACTCTTGAAGATAGGAACAATCTGAGCCTGCTTTAAACAAATTTGAGAAATTCCATTACTAAAACTTTCATTAATAAACAAAGACAAACACATCAAAACTGCTTCGAGCAAGTTCATAAAAACTTCCGCAGTTTTGCCGTCATAGCCAGCAGCAAATTTATTTTTTTGTTTAATTTCATAAATAATTTCCCGAATCTCACATACATTTGTAGGAGTTAAAACACAATGTTCATTGACACAAACATCACCCAAGTAGTCGAGGGCACGTCGAGGGGGTCAACTGATGTAACAATATCACTAGTCAACCCAGAAGCTATAGAGCAATGAAATTCATTAAACATATCTGCCTCTACCTCTGAGCCAAAGCTAGCAATATTATTCCTTCCTCTAAGTTCATTTATAATTTTACAGTTTTCTTTATTTTTATTCTGAGCATTATTAAGCCTGTTACTATAATACATAGACTTAGCCTGCTTAATGGTGGTTCTATAAGTTTTTCTATGTCTAGCAAAATAGGACAAAAAATTGACATTTGTTGTATACTTTCTTATGGTGTGCAGAGAACACAAATTTGTGGCAAAGCCCCGTATACCCTTAGTTAGCCAAGGTTTTCTGTTCTTTATTTTTAATTTCCTAAGTGGAAAGGCCTTGTTAAACGCACCTGCAAGAGTATTATGAAACAGAGTCAACCTGTCACCCATTGTGAAATAAAAATTTGTGTTGTGACAAATATCCACAAATTTTCTAAAATTTTCCTTACTATAAATTCTTCCATACCTAAACCTAGCTTTATTACATTTTTTCGTTTTAAACCCAATTCTACCAATGACCGCCTCATGGTCCGAAAGGCCAGAAGGTATGTATATACGGTGTATAAAAAATGTCAAATAATAAGGGTACTTACCTATTAGTCAGAATGTGGCCAATGACCCTGTACAGGACTGAACAAGAGAAAATTTTGTTTTTCCCTGTATTTTTAAGGTTTTATAAAATACCTGCGCCAGACTTTGGAAATGGTAGAATTTGCCAAGCTAAAGATAAAGTTTCCAAAAACTTCTGCACCAAAATGCCTTTCATGAAAGTTACATCTCTTTGAATATAGGGGGAAAACGGCAGTTAAGGTTTGTTTTACTTGTATCATCCCCTTCAGTCTTGGACAGAATTAATTTTACATGTTGTATTCACCCAAACCAAATAAATTGGAAAGAGTGATCATCTTGCCTAGTGCTAGTATTAAAACTGGTTCTCCTTGCTATTGATCACATCAAAACGTCTAGTTTATAAATGGGAAATTTATTTTTTTGTAGATCTGGAATGGAAAATGATATACGTTGGATCAGCTGAATCCGAGGAATTCGACCAAGTTTTGGATTCTGTTTTTGTTGGCCCCATTCCAGAGGGCAAGCATATGTTCGTATTCCAGGTGAATTTCAAAAATATAATCAAAATCCCCGATACTAGGCAATCATTTTTTTTTTTAGGCTGATCCACCAAACGTTTCGAGAATCCCAGAAAACGATGCTTTGGGTGTAACAGTTGTCCTTCTAACCTGCTCCTACAGAGCCCAAGAATTCATAAGAGTGGGCTACTTCATCAACAACGAGTACAGCGATCCCGAGCTCAAGGAATTGCCACCCAGCCCACCACAATTCAACAAAGTTACCAGAAATATCTTGGCTTCAGAACCCAGAGTTACCCGATTCAAAATTAACTGGGAAGAACCGAACGCTCAGGAATCCATGCCTGGACCATCAGAAAATGCCGAGCCTATACCTATCCCGCCACTAGGACAAACACCCAGTTTCAATGAAAGTTCAAACTCTTGGGCTACTATGGAATGCTCTTAGACTATCAATATCTTATACATAATATATAGAGTAATTTGTAAGATGTTCATTTGAGTTCTGGATTTTTAAAAAAAAAAATTCCCATTTGATTTGATTTGTTATATTGTGTTTTAAAGTGGAAAATAAGCTGTGAGTAGACATTGTTTTGAGGCAAAAAACTCTCACTATCCATAGGAAAACAAGATTTCTCTGTAAATAAGCATCCCTTTTGCACACTCTGTCAAAAATTTCTTATGTCTGTGGAACAAGTGCTATATAAATTTGGAAAGTCTAGAGTTCAGGATCAGAGTCAAAATGAGCTGAGAGTAATAATTATTGTCTAGTGTGTCTCAGGCACCTAAATCTCAACCTACATTCAGCTTATTTTTATTCTGAATAATCTTAACAGATGTTCAAAAATATGCGCATATCTGTGTCTTCTTGACTTAAGGGTTTATTCATATTCTTTTCATTTATAGTTAGTGATATTTATTAATAAATTTTTTGGTACCCTTATGTATTTTATTTATATCAGTTGCTCGAGATTTTGTACACTGTTTTGCCACAGTGGCTTAAAGGAATATTGGGACTTGGGACGTTCTATACAACATTCCATATAATTATCAGTTACTAGCAGGAAATAAAACCCAGATAAATTCATAAATATATAAATTTTATTGTAAAAAGCTTGATAAAAAGTGAAATCGTATAAAAAAAAAAACTATATACAAGTGAACAAAAACTAAATACTTGGAATACAAACGTCATTTTATGCTTAAAAAACTTTAGTTTCATCCCCAACATACTCTATATTGTGATCCTTTTTGTAATGCACCTTCCTGCCATATTTGTCAATAAACCTCCTCTGACAATAATCACATTCAAAAGGCTTTTCGCCAGTATGCGTAAAAATATGCCTCTGTAATTTATTACCAAAAGCGAAAATTTTGGGACACATTGGACACAAGTATTTTTTTTCAATTTTCGGAGCTTTCCAATTGCCTTGATCGTGCACAACTTTCATGTGCCTCCTTAAACCCTCTCTATTCTTATAATCCTTACTGCAAATATTGCATTTGAATAATCTCTGATTAGTATGAGTGTTTAAATGCAACATAAGCTCAGCCTTATTTAAGAACTTCTTTTCACAAATGTGACACACGAACTCCTTAATTCCTGCATGCCTCTTCAAATGTTTGATTAAATTTCCCTTTATAGGAAACTTTTTACTGCACAAGGTACACGGAAACTTCCATTCGGCAGGATCTAAATGCATTTGTAGTCTGTGAGTTCGCAAGTTGCTGTGAGTTTTGAAGCTCCTGTTGCACTTAAGACAGGAATAGGCGCGGTCGTTGTTGTGAATTTTTGTGTGATGGTTCAAGTCCGCTGAAGAAACGAAACTTTTGCCACAAGTGGCACAGATGAATGGTTTTTCATTTGTGTGTTTTCTTGAATGGATTAGCAGACTGTATCTGGAAAAAAGTTTGTTTGAGTGAATAGCGAATGTTACAATTTGGAAGCATCAATAATTTATGCGACTACGAAAAAAAAATATGTTAATTCACATTCATACTTTTCTTAAAGAAAACTGCTGAAGCGGAAGTTAAAGTTATAATTATATAATAATTAAGAACTTTTCAGGATGGGATGAAATTTCGTTAACGGTAGTCGAGGATCTTCCATTATTCTCTGAATTAACATGGTCCCATAAATTTTTTTTTTTGCTTACTTGTTCATGTATTTGGCACCGCACTGATCACAAGCAAATGGTTTTTCGGTACCGTGATTTGTTCGGACATGCAGCATCAAGTCTTGTATTTTGACGAATATTTCATCACAAAAGTTACAGGTTAGGGGTACTCTCTTGTGCCCTTTTCTCCTTAGCTGTGATTTTTCTTCAGATTCTTCACCAACCTGTGTGTAACAAAAGTTATAAGTCATTTGATACTATTGTTAATTTCTTACTTCAGATTTTTCACTATAACTATCGTCGTTTTCATTTGTATTATCTTCTAAATCGTCACTATCACTATGATCTGACTCTTCGGTTTTAACATGTTTTTCGTCCACTGAATGTTCGCTATCTTCAGCTTCCTTTTTCATCGAGATATTGTCTTCTGATTTAATATTTTTGCTAAAAGTATAAATTGAAGTCATTTGTAAGTACACAGTTTTTCACCTACCCAACATCGACTTGTTCTTTTCGTTCTACTTCTATCTTGAGCTTGTTGTTTTCACTTTGCCTTTTATTTACATGTAGCTTAGTGATATGCTGACTTAAATACTGCTTTTGCTTAAACGATTTGCCACAATCGTCACAAGTGAATAATTCCTCTTTAGGTTTAAGACTATTTGAGTCTTTCTTACGAAATTTTTCACTCTCTATGCAACATTGGACGAATTTGTATGCTGCATCCAGCTGAGAAATGCATGGATTGCAAATTTGATGATGCGATTTCCATGTCTAGAATTAAAACATTGTTTATCAAATAATTAAGGGATAAATGTTTGTTTATAATATTTACTTCATTAGGAACACACAACACTAGTTTTTTGATGTATTTTATATTGTTGGAGTCGGGTTTGTTTATTAATATTAAGGTTTCGGTGTTTTTTATACATATGCAACAGACACTTGTTAAATCTTCCATTGTAGACTACTGAAATTGTTTAAAGAACTTTTCCAATAAATATTAAAATTACATGTTTTCATTCATTCCATTTTTGTTTATATTTTTAGGCAACCACAAACGGTAAAGGGAGGAGGCACAACATCCACATCCACGCAAAACGGCTCTGTACTCTGTCAAAATTGTCAATGTTTTGGGTTATATTGGGGCAAGGATAATACACACTACTCAGGATTGCTTATCGGCCTCGTTTTTGGTTATCGCCGCCATATTGGTGTATCACCATTGCCGATGTCATTAACTAATTCGTCAGCTGCTTACGCCAGCGGTCGTAGTTTAGAATTCAAATTTATGATGGAAAATATTTTGATTAACATAGGGCCGGTTTCTTAATAGCGAGTCACCCCCGGGTTGGTTTTAACTCCAGGGTAAGCATGTCCAGTTGCTATGTTTACCCTGAAGTTATGCTTAACCCGGGGGTGACTACGTCACAACTGGTGATCTGGCGAGGTGGTGGGGGTATTCAGATTTGTTCTACACAGGCCTTATGAGAATAGGTTATTCTGTAGTAGTAGTTGTTTATTATCCTTGATGTTGAGGGACTAAAAACAAAGGTGCGTTCGATAACCAGTGCGGTAATAGTTATATTCCTTTCTCACCCAGAAGGAGCTCCAAAGTGTTTGTACACCCCGCATCTCTTCCTTTAAAATCGAGGTCGACTAACACCGGAGCGAGTAGCTCGAGTTTTCCAAACTCTTGAAAGGAATACAACTATTAGCCATTGGGAACCAAGGATACACACACCTCTACTACAGGATAGCTTATCTTCATAAGGCCTGTGTAGATCAAATCTCAAGCCCCCACCATGCCAAAAAAAACAGTGATGACGTTGCAGCGTGTCGTTTTCCGCCTTGACGTAGGGTGTTTGCAAGGATGATGATAATCCAGGTATTCTTTCGATCTGAACAAACTGATTGAAGTTACTTGAGGTTTGTTTCAAACAATTGTCGTCCGGTTTTACAATGTTTTCATTGGCCCTAACTGTTTATTTGACGCCTCATAAACAAACCTTATGTGATTACAATCAGTTTGTTCAGATCGAAAGAATACTTGGATTAATACCCGCCCCTTGTCACGGCAATATTTAACCCGAACGGCCATTATAAAATCACGTGATTGAGATTGCCTAATTTCGGATACGAAAATGATGACGTCACCGTGACTTTGGTATTCTTTTTGGTCTGTCAAATAGGGTACCGACGATACCGTAGTCAGCAGCACGGTTCTTCTCGTTTGGTATCTACGAGTTTTGTCCTGCTCCTGGAAACGTGAATGAAACCAAGGGGAGCAGCGTTCTCATTGGAACAAAGGTTCTGTCTTTGTCGTCCGGCAAAACACTGATAATGACAGAGCAATCGTTCTTATGAGAACGCTGTTCCTTGGTTTCGAGAATTAAGTTCCTGCTGAGAGGCTGAGCTTAGCCGCTGGGACCGCCTGAATGTACCCAATCATTTGAAAAATGGTTTTGAACGACAGATACAGTGCTCGAGATTAGCCCCCCCAAACCCGACGATCACAATCATGATATAATGACACAAATTAGCCATCCGCCCACCCAAACCCGAGCGAGCAGATCTGAGTTGCTTTTCAGTGACGCACTTTAAGCACTCCTGAGTTGCTCTAGAGCGCCCTGGACTGTTTATAGCCGTTCCAGTGTATTAGAGTTTCGCGCAACTGGACTTTTCGTTTTTCCCTTTCGTCTGCTGGTCCGTGTCTGTTTGTGCACTTAGGAGGAATTTAATTCAACAGAACTTGTTTCAGTTTTTAAGTTGGTTTTAGTACCGATTTAAGTAGTTTAAGAAGTTTTAAACTCAATATATTTTTACTTACATATATGTATGTATATACAGGTTCTGTTCCTTATATTAGTGCGGCTCCTACAACTTAAACAAAAGAAAATACAAAGAAAAGTTAAATACAAAAGTTGTAAGGTTTTATCTCTATTATCTTTCGTACATGTCAAAATGGGCAAATGACAAGATTATCACTCCGATAAAACTAATCAATAACAAATGTATCTCAAGAATCAGTTCCGTTCTAATACAATTTTAAACTACTACAATCTTAAGGTGCCAACTGTCATAATGACAGCACTTGCATTTTGTTTAAATGGAATACCCTGTATATGTATTTTTCGCTAGAATGATAGATTTTTTTCGATGATTTTTTGCTTCTGATTTCAAATATACCATATAGTTGTATTCCTTTCAAGAGCTTGAAACACTCGAGCTACTCGCTTCGGTGCTTAGTCGCCCCCGATTTGCAGGGAACATATGCGTGGTGCAACAAACACTTTTCGAAAGGAATAAGCGCGTGAAGCTCCGGAGCTGTTCCGGAGCTCCTCCTAGGTGTGAAAGGAATACAACTATTATGTTGATATTTGATTCAGCTGTTTTTACGCTATTCAAGTTTAAAAATGCATTTACATTACCCTAAATTAGGTCTGTTCCCGGTTTCTAATATCAATGATGAGGCTTGCTCAATGCAATTTTAAAATGAAATAGCGGAAAAACAGCTAAACCAAATATCAATATATATGGTATATTTGGAATCAGAAAAAAAAGATCTATCATTCCAGCCAAAAATATACAGAGTGTTCTATTTAAAAAAAGGCAAGTGCTGTCATTATGACAGTTGGCACCTGTCATTTGCCCATTTTGACATGTGCAAAACATAATAGAGATAAAACCCTACAATTTTTGTATTAAACTTTTTTTTGTATTTTCTTTTGTTTAAGTTGTAGGAGGCGCACTAATTATGAGGAACAGACCTGTACATGAAAATGTCTTTCATAACTTTGTTCTTTTTTTTTCAACTAAGAACGTAGATTATATCGAAGAACAAAGTTTATAGTAGAGTATTTCCGTCAAATTCAGGCATTTGTGAAATACGTACTGTAGTAAGTATTGAAAAACATCATATACTGTCACCAAATCGACTTATAGAGACCCGGGGCTCAAGCCCCCCCAAAACCAACAAGCTAGTTGCGCCCCTGGACAGATATGAGATAACTTTTTTGCTGAATGGAATAAGCTTTACATTTACAGAAAAAGCCGAGTTAGGCAATAGGTTCCTCAAAGGTAAATCTTTCTTTTTAGCTTCTCTTAGACATTGCAAAAGCAAGGGCACCAAATCACAGAACCACAGAAGAATCACGAAAGAATGTTTTTAAACCATGGCACAAAAACTAAAAAACAATAAGGAGTTTGTAGCGACTAACCGTTTGTAAGCGTGTTATAAACGGTAACTGAAAATCTCTAACCGTTGAAATTTTAGCGTGGCAGCGGTAACAGGGGAAGTTATTTATCCGTGCATTCGATATGTTGATCTAAGTTCTCCGAGCATAAAACCGTTCGTTTATTTGAAAAGTGTATTCAATGCAGGCTCATTCACGTTCTTTATTAAAATTTCAACACCTCTGCTCTGATCCAGCGTTTAACTGCTCTGTGCGCTAGTCGGTCACGTGATTACGGCTCCGCTCTGCTCTTTAAGCAAAATACCGAACGCAAGGTATAACATCATAGGGGATTTATACCACGGTATTAAATTCAGTAACCTATAGTTCTTTTCACGTGGCTCCGGTATAACTAACCGGGTTACAAAACGGTTAGAGAAATGACATACCGTTTTCCAACCCGGTTACAAAGTGACGTGATGGTCGATGGATACCCACCACTGGAATTTGAGCGGTATGTTGCGGTTTGTTAAACCGGAGCCACGTATAAAGGGTTTATGTAGGACCCTGGGGCGAGTTCAGAAATAACACACCGGGTGTGAGTGCGATTTTATGGGTGTGATTGAAATGACAATTCTTAGGGCGGGTATTATAAAACTGCTTTGACAGTAAACTTGAAGTTAACTTTTTGAATTACATGTATTTTCAGAAGTTAACTTTAAGTTAACTCTCAAAGTAGTTTTATAAAACCCGCCCTTAGGCGACAACTTTCGTATGAATTTCTGAACGCTTGGTGTGATCAATCGAACATCTCCTCAAAAATTTCAAAAAATCTATTAGGATTACTTTTTTTCTTGTTCATTTTTTTAATTTGAAGGAAAAACTTTAATTCTTATTTGTGTTTTGTTTATATTTGGTGGGATTATTGAGATTATGGGAGGAATGGTTGACATTGTTGACATAAAGACACAATTACACCGTAGCCACACCGAAAAATTATGGTGTGACCGGTGCGACACCTGCGCTCCCAAAATACTTTCTGAACGGCACAGAGTTACTGGCGGTTATAGAACATTTGACAGTTCGATTTTATTCAACATATGGGCGTTTGGGACGTTTGGGTTTGTTTACCTTACTCCAATGTCAAACCCGAAAATTAGAAAATATTATTGCGAGACGTGGACGTGGGTTTCTGGTTGTTAGTTTAAACGTAAGGTAGGTAAAAAAAAACGCTCAGTAAGGTAGAACGTGTAATATCCGATCCATTCCTTGAAAATCCGGGAGACCAACATGGCAGAAAATATTGAAATTTTAACTGAAGTAACTTTAAACAATAGAGGGCAGAATCACCGTCTGTGTTCCCTTGGACCTAGCGAATATACTTCTTAATGGTAAAAACAATATGTGAAATTGTTGTGAAAGTCTAGCCCAAGAGTCTAGCCCGCATTGCTAGCCCGTCTAGCCCCACTTTATTACGTGTGGGTAATAAACGTACGGTTAAAGCTCGTGATAACACGGTAACAAACGGTTTCTCGCTAAAAAATCCTTAATAAATTGGGTTTAATAAGGCTCGTGTCTTCCCCCTCTCTCATGACTTACCAAACGAATTCGGAAGAAAATGGTGTCTTACGTCATTACTATGACGTTGCAGGTACCAAATGGTATACCAACCAAAGCTTGCCGAAATCGCCTACACCCTACAGTCAAAGGCTTTTGACAGCTGAAGAGGTTAGGTTGGATTTGTTTATGTAAATCAAATGTAAATAATTTATAAACAAAATTGATTTAATAAATTTTTCCCAAATATAGCTAAACTATGGATTCAGACGGTTCTAGAGAATCTTCTCCACCGCCTCCTACAGAGCCTCCTCCGAGTCTACCACCACCGTTACCTGACAGGCCAAAAAAACCCTCAACAGACACGAAAATCGAACATCTCCAAACTACAATACAAAACACCAAAATCGAAGAGCATTTAGATTTAGAAGATGACGAAATCTCTCAACACATGACCCAATCTTACAGCGAAATATCATTTAAATCTGAACCCGAAAATCATGACTCTCCGATTATGGATTTGGATTCTGTGCAAGTGGACGAACAGTTTAGTAAAAGACCTATGACTTTGCCCAGCGAAAAACGATCTGAAAAACCGTTAAGGCCCCTTAATTTGGACGGTATGGTGCATAAGGAAGGAAACATGACCCATTTTGTAGCAGAAGATTTGGAAACCAAAATTAAACTTGCAAGTCCTGTAACGAAAAAAAGCGACACACCTAGCAGCTCACGCAGTGGCACTCCCAGCACTTTATACAGGCAACTACTAGATCCACAATTAAGCCAAATCAATACAGCTTTGATAAATGATTTAGAATGTGAAGCACAGAGGATGGCAACTTCAGTAGACAACCTTATAGAAAACTTGAGTGGAATTTTGCATTCGATTTCATCAATAACTGCAGACAATGTGGATATTTATAAAAATGCTGTTTCAAAAATGTCAGATGCTATGGATGGGAATATCAAGAGCATGTATACTATGATGGCTAAAGCTGAAGAGATAACACAAAATATGAAAACAGTGGAAGTGCAAGCTGCGAAAATTAAGGAAATTAAGAAGCTGGTGGATTTATTCGAGTCATTTCTGTAGATTATAGTCTATGTAAAAATGTATATTTTTCTTGTTGTTATTGGGATAGTTTGGGTTGGCCTGAATGATTTAAAATGTAGGTAGTTTTTAAAAACTCGCCTCAAGCTCAAGCGCCCTTGTTATTTTATACTTTTTCCGTTATTGATCTCAATAATAAATTATTATTGTAATATAAGGCAGAAATCTACAATAAAAACATAAAAGTTTTTACTAAAAATTTATTGTTTATCATCAGCTACATAGTTAAGAGAGTATTTAATACTTGTTCATAAAAAGAAAAAACTGACAAAAATTACAATATAACAAAATTTAAAGTGACAACAATTAAATAAGGTATAAAATTAAACAAACCATCCTAAGTCAGAAACTTTAGGAATAACAGCCAACATCATGGCTAATTTAGCATTACCCAACACTGGAGGTACTACTGTACGATCTGAATCTGGCATCATTTTATCAGCTACGTGTTTAACTATTTTTCCATCTGAATTAATATAGAACGTTGAATAACCATCGTGCCACTGCACTGTGTGATTTATCATCTCTCTATATTTCCATACTTTAACTTTCCAAAAATGGAACATGACTTTTAATGCCGATATTCCTCGAATGGTCCATCGAATGCGGACAGTGCCATCTTCAGGATGTTGAGTTATTTTTAGAATTTCAAATTTTACGTAAGCAAACTTAAAATGACCTACTGTTCTTAATAGAGCTACTTGTTTTACATAGTTATACAATCCCTCTGTTCTTATGTTTCTTATATTGTCTTCAAATATAATATTATCATGGTATATTGTGTAATCCATTGGTTGTACGAATAAATTTGGTAAAGATTCTCCTAATATAGTATATACCTGTAAAAGTTTTTCAGGTGAAGGCTTACCACCAGGTTCCGGAGACGAATTACTACTTAACAAAACATCTTTCTTTGGGGCCGGTTGGGTAGAATACAAATCCACAATGTTAATTTTAGTGACAACATCATTAGCAACTTCCCTGTTGTCTGGAATTAAACTCAGATCATTGCACGAAGCCTCTGGAAGTCTGAATTCTGGCAAACTTCTCGAATACTGTTTACAATAATTGTTCACAAAGGAATTAAGTCCTAAATGCTTGTTGGCCAGTAAATGCCCTGATAGCTTATGGATGTATCTTAATGATGGGGCCATTATGTTGACGAATTTATGCGAAATTGAGAAAATTCATTATCAATTTAGCTACTTTTTCATAACATATTACAACTAGCGATTTCCAACCTTACATTTCGCGAAATGTGAAGTTTTGGGGTTTGCGTGATTTGCGTCAAATTTTTTCAAAAGCGTTTTCACGAGTTTTGGTTAATGGGTCATTGGTTCCATTGGTTGAACGTGAAGGGTACTTACATTTGTACGCTCCACTTGCTCGAAAAATCAGGAAGATCTGTTAGTGCTAACTGTTAGGTGCTTAATTTATCAGCTCTTCGGACAAGTTATTGAACCAATTTTGATGTGACGTCATGGGTTTATCGCGAGAATGTACTGTTTCAAAACAGTTTTGAACCAGTTGACGCGAGAGAACGCCTCAGGAGTGCGTCCATTAATAGCCGCTTTCGGGAGTAGGGCGACAAGCTCCTAGAGTACTCCACTCCTGACGCGCATTGTACCTTTTACACCCGAACGCTTATTTGTTATTTTTCTTTTCTTATTTTATTTTTAGGTGCTTCAGGAAACGGGGACGAGGAAAATACGAACAGGTCCGGAGCGCAAAATCTGCGCAGACGAACGGACCGAAGTACTTTGGAGTAACTCTGAAGTGCTCAAGCTGTGGCACCCGAAAGCGGCGAAGGTTACGGTGATATTTATGACGTCAAAAATTTACCTGAGTGTGATCCATAAAAAAATCACCCGCTAGTTTCTGAGCTCAGCTCAGGCAAGAACACAACTAGACGATTCACTGGCCATGGCCCGAATAAAACCCAGGATTATGGTCTTGTGGTCAAAAAATTAATCAAATTATTCTAGTTCCTGGAAAAATGGTTTTTTTTGGACCCCGGTTTCTTGAAATATGTTAACATGTCAAAATAATTACCGTGCATATGCGGTTCGATTCAAGGATAATTTTCGTAGAGTACGCCGCGGTTAATCCTCCTCGAGCAAAAAGATGACAATCACATGTGAATAGTTAGAAAAGGCTTGTGTTATCAACATAGTTACTAAATTTTTGACTTGGGGAATTATCTTTACAAAAAAACAGACTTTACTGTTTGTTTCACGAGGGTTTGAACTTTTGCCCTCCTTTTTTAACTAATAAAAATTGCCTGAAACAAATTAATAACGTCAAAAACGTTCGTCGGTTTTTAAGACAGAAGTCATTCAATACAATACAAAATCTGAACGCTAATGAATTTATATGAATCAATCTACGACACACCTTTTTTCCAAGTTATGACATGTCGATGTCATGAGTATGACATGTCGATGTCATGAGTTCAAACCTTCGTGAAATGAACATTAGCTTCAAATACAAGATCACATTAATGTCATCATTCAGCTCGCGGAGGATTAACCAAACTGGCCTACAGAATACTAGATTGCTTATCGGCCTCGTTTTTAGTAATCGCGGTCATATGTTGTAGCACCATTGCCGACGTCAGTAAGTCAGTCGTCAGCTGTTTGCGCCAGCGGTCGTAGTTTACAATTTAAATTTATGATAAAATAGTACATTAAAATACAAGTTTCATAAGACGTCATTTTATCGCACGAGCCCTATATTAGAAAACTCGCCTCCGGCTCGTTTTCTAAAGGACGAGTGCGATAAAATGTCTTATGAAACGAATATTTCTTGGAAATTTTATCTCATATTTTCAGATTTCATATGTTTAAGTTGGTAACACTACATGCCAAATATAGAAATCTTCTATTTTTAAAATCGCGAATTACAGTTCGATGGCCATCAGACAGCCAGTGTTACCAACCTCCGATAAGTTAAAAAGGAGTGTCACAAAGAGCTTCTTTTCGAAACTACTTTTAGTGTCGAAAAGACTTCGATATGACACCAAAATAGAAAAAGTATTATTTAATTTCGATTCACATAAGGCAAAGAGGAAGATGCACTATATCTAAAAAAGAGTTGTTTAAGAATGTTAATTATTGTAGTGTAGTATGCACATTGAACTAAACAAACACTCTGGAACGGGCGCATTGCTTTATGCTAGTGTGCTGAATTTTGATATATGCAACCCAGCAATACAGAGGGATTGTTGTCTCGCTCGTACTCATCGCGATTAACGTGGAAAAAAGAAGAGCTTCTTCATCTTCCTAACCTCAGTGATCCCAACACTTCAAACAGCTGGTTCTCGATAGCCGCCATAGTGCGGAGAGGAATGCAAATCCCTCTTGTTTGTTGTCCTTCCTGGCGCAAACCCTTGCGTTAGAAACATTATGCAGCCACCGTTCCAGTGTGTTTGTTTAGTTCATTGAGTATGCATAAAGCAAAAGCCTTTCGAATCATTACCTTTGATGCATACAACCTACACCAAGGCGAGAAACGTCACGCTATTACGTCATCACTGGTGCTTTGGCATGGCAGCGCCTTGAGATTTAAACTACACAGGCCTCATGAGGATAGGTTATCCTGTGATAATAGTGTGTATTATCCTTGGGTTCGATTGGTTAATGCCAAACCACAGGATGCCAAACCCTATTTAATTCCTTAATTAAATAACGCAGCTTTTTCTACCATTCCATCACGGACCCTACACCAGCTGAATTTAGCCACACGTGGTATTTGTGACGTCAATCGCAGACCTCAGCGCTTGGCATAAAATGTATTAGATGAGTTTAAAACAATGTAGCACTGTAGGTCAAAAAAAACGAATTCTTAAACGTTAAGGACGTGAAAGTCACCTTTTCTATTTTTGTTTTCTGGATTATTTTCAAAACGACGACAAAATTAAGTCACAAGCACAGCCTGAATCGCAAGCAATCCGTCGAGGTTTGCCAGTGACGTCACCACTATAAGCTGCTGATTGGGCACTTTCCAAATTTCACCGATGAATTAGATAATCCGGTAGCTGTCAAAAAATTCCGATAAAAATTAGGGTAAGTCCGGTTACATCATTTTTCTGAATCTTTTGGAACGCTTTGGTGTGAGTTTGGTAGTTTGGTTGTGTAGTTTGTTTTGTTGTTCGGAATGTATTGTGGTGTGGGGTGGGGTATAGTAAGGTTGGTATCAATTTTTTTTGAACAGTAAACAAACGGTAGTTTTTAGTACGATTTTTGTAGATTATTTGAGTTGAGTGTTCGGCTTGTAGAGTTAATAATGATTAAAGATAAAATTGTTTACGCACACACACACAACATTTTTTCATCCGAAAAAAGAAAGAACCGACAAAAATTCGCGGTGGATTCGGTGCTTCACCGGTTTCAAACAGCTGATTATTCCGGTGAATTTTCGATGTTCGGGTTCAATCGGTGCAAAGTTGGTACATTTTGGAACGCTTTGGTGTCTGGTGGTGACTAAACTATTAAACCGGTATCGCACTGGTTCAGAAACCGGTGAATTTTGGAAAGTGCTCATACTGGTGACGTCACCCGCTGACCAGCTGCCGACTCGAGCACTGAACTACTATTTGCTAAAGTGTTCTGGAATTCAGTTTAAGTACGCCCAAGCTCCGTGGGCCGGGATCATCGCCGAATGAATTTATGAACGTTCCTCTATGGCGCCATTAATTTTACATTTTCAGTTTTTGAACGCGTTTGAGTCACTCCGGGTATAATTCAAGGATGATACACACACTATTACAGGATGGCCTATCCTCATAAGGCCTGTGTGTTATAAATCCCCCCTACCCTCCCGCGCCAAACAATCAGTTGTGACGTAAACAGCATGGCGTTTCTCGCCTTGACGTAGCTATTTAAACAGCTGACGACTTAGTTATGACCAATGAACTATAGCTAAAAACTGGAATGCGCACACATTGCCATATCTGCCAAAAAAATGAAGCCATGAAAGACAGATGCCACAAGGGGGAATGTTGTTTTTTTCTGTTGCTCGCTGACATATGACGTTTTCAAAAGTTTTGTCATATTTCCCTTCACAGGTTTCATCAATTGGAATACGTGTTGGAAGCAATTTTCGCCATTTAACATAATAAGTGCGACAAAAACAGGTATCCCCTCCGCAGCAGCCGCACTAGGCTTCACGTTCGTCCTTATGTGTTAGCATTCCAGTTTTTGGTTATAGTTCATTGGTTATGACCAATGAACTATAGTCAGAAACTGGAATGCGCACACATTGCCATATCTGCCAAAAAAATGTAGCCATGAAAGACAGATGCCACAAAGGGGAATGTAGTTTTTTTCTGTTGCTCGCTGACATATGACGTTTTGGAAAGTTTTTTCATATTTACCATCACAGGTTTCATCAATTGGAATACGTGTTGGAAGCAATTTCCGCCATTTAACATAATGAGTGCGACAAAAACAGATATCCCCTCTGCAGCAGCGGCACTAGGCTTCACGTTCGTCAAAGTGTGTTCGCATTCCAGTTTTTGGTTATAGTTCATTGGTTATGACGTCGGCAATGGTTGAAAACAATTGGAAACCAATATTGCGACGATTACCAAAAACGAGGCCGATAAGCACTCCTTAGAGAGTCCTATATTTATGAACGCGCTCCAGTTGAGTGTAGTTCATTGATGTTGTCTCGTTCTAGCTCTCAGAGTGTTCTCTTTTACGTTGGGCTTATGACCGCGTATGACGTCAGGATATCCGACTCGTACCGTTCCGCTCCGTGGAGTGCAAAGCCGAACTAGCCTTTATCGATTGTAGCGCGAGTTCGGCTTGTTTCACAAAAATGGCGTTGCCAGAGCCGCTTTCCAGTGCCTAAACTGAGTATCATGCTCCTGAAGTGTAACGCTCTTGAACTGTTCGACATAAGCAGCACTGGGGGGGTTTATTTGAAATGTGCAATTCAAATACGTCTGACTAAGTCGCAATTTTTGCCGGAATTTCAATGCTAAAAAATGCGACTTTGTCAGACGAATTTGAATTGCACATTTCAAATAAACCTTCCCTGGAACGCTCTGGTCTTAACCCCCACCATTTCGGATTTCAGGAGCATCAAACACAGACAAAAGGGTTGGTGCACGAGGGGGCAGGGGATAACAGAAATGAGTAGCTCAAGTGTACGACACTCTAAGCACTGGAACGCGCAAAGCAATTGTGGAGCACTCCTGAGCTGCTCAGGAGTAACTCAAATGGGTCACTGGAAAGCACCTCTGAAGTCGTTTTTAGTAGACGCTTCAGTTCAGTGTTGCCACAGGCTCTGAAAATTTCGTGCCAGACTATGAATTTAAAAGGGGCCAGATTTAAGATTTTCGGGCAAGCCCTCCACAAATGAAAAAGAAAAGAGAAAGCCCGTCCTAGGCGCCGCCGGAGAAATTTTTCTCGGGTGCCACGCCCAAAAACGCTTATTTTGCATGAAAAAATAATGATTTGGCTTGTTATGGAGAAACGGGCCAGATTCGGAATAGAGTGGCCACTCCATCTTAGAAAGGGCCAGATCTGGCCATATGGGGCCACCTGTGGCAACACTGCTTCAGTTTTTGGAAGCAAAGTTATAACCAATTAACGGATTAAAATCAATCCGTGACAATTTGGCAACCATATTAGAGGGGATAAACCGGAGGTGGATCGCTCTCCCAAGGTCCGTTCTCACAGAAAGCACAAACCAGTCAGATCGTTTTTCATTGGTGCAAATCGTCAACAAACAATTTTCTGACTATTTTCAACCAATGAAATTCGTTCTCTGGTTTGTGATTTCTGTGAGAACCAATGAACTATAGCCAAAAACTGGAATGCGCACACATTGCCATATCTGCCAAAAAAATTTAGCCATGAAAGACAGATGCCATAAGGGGGAATGTTGTGTAACAGAATTCAGATTTTGACAGCTGTCAAAATTTGATGTCTATGAGGTTTGCTTAATGTTTTATCACCAATAAACTACATTAAAACAAAAAAGAGCCAGACATTCAGTGATGTGCCTGTAGACAATGTCAACGTAAACAATTGATTGTCTACGCGTAGACAATTCGAATTGTTTACGTGGGCATTTGTCTACATGCGGCGTAAACAATAACTTATTTTAAAAAATTCGAAAAAAAAATATCAAAAGTTACTATAATATCACTATCACTTCGATACAAGCATTCACTGATTATAAAATATCAGAAAAACCAATAATAAAATAAAAATAAATTAAAAAAAGGAAAGTGTGAGGTTAGAATTAAACGTCATTTATATTATTTTACATTGTTGATACGTTGTCTACATTGTCTACACGTAAAGTAGACAATGAAAGTCTACGTGTAGACGCACATCCCTGCCAGACATGAATTTTTTTCTTACTAAAGTAAATGTCAAGTTTTGACAGTTCTGTAATTTTTTTTTCAATTTTTGAACTCAGAATTTACGTAAGTTAAAACTGACAAATGACACATCATGAAATATTGAAAATTGAAAAATAAGAGCGCTGTTTGGCAGGTTTCTGACAGATGTCAAAATGGTTGACATTTTTTCGATTTACCTTGGCCGACTTGGAAGAAATCGATATTTACTTCATCAAAATCTGCCTTAGGGCGGGTATTATAAAACTGCTTTGACAGTTAACTTGAAGTTAACTTTTTGAATTACATGTAATTTCAGAAGTTAACTCTAATAAGTTAACTCTCAAAGTAGTTTTATAATACCCGCCCTTAGTGCGGGTATTATAAAACTGCTTTGACAGTTAACTTGAAGTTAACTTTTTGAATTACATGTAATAATTCTAAACCGCCCTTATTAAGCCGGCTACAGACGGTCCGGCAGGTCTGTCAGTTCCAACTGAACAGTTAGCCTGAAGGCCGGCCGTCGGGGAGACTGATGACCCTCCAAATGTTCAGACAAACCTGAAATATTCTTCAGTCTTAATACTCTCAATCATCATCTAGTATTAATTTTTTTGAGAACAGAGTAGACTTCGTATGAGAAGGATCGATTTCCTTCCATTTTTCTACCAATTTCAAATACGCCGCTTATTTCTTGCCACAGTCGTGAAAGTTTTTCGAATTGACTTGCCAGAGACACGACCAATGGCTCATGGCTCATATGAATAAAAGAGGAGCAAATGCTTCTCCTGAAGATTTTTGAGATAAACATATTTAGCTTTAACGCAGCAAAACAAGACAGAGGTATTGCAGAATATTGCTACACTTTATTCATACGACTAGCTATGATAAATCACGATAAATTTCGATTCTATTTCGTACGACATGGCGTAACAAGCTCACTATCACTACTGATCTATCTGAACCAATGAACTAGAGCTAAAAACTGGAATGCGCACACATTGCCATATCTGCCAAAAAAATGAAGCCATGAAAGACAGATGCCACAACGGGGAATGTTGTTTTTTTCTGTTGCTCGCTGACATATGACGTTTTCGAAAGTTTTGTCATATTTCCCTTCACAGGTTTCATCAAATGGAATACGTGTTGTAAGCAATTTTCGCCATTTAACATAATGAGTGCGACAAAAACAGGTATCCCCTCCGCAGCAGCCGCACTAGGCTTCACGTTCGTCCTTATGTGTTAGCATTCCAGTTTTTGGTTATAGTTCATTGATCTGAACTGACGGACTGACAGACGACCGGGCCATGCACACGTTCAGACTTGCCTTTGAGTACGTCAGGCTGGCCGGATGAACGAACATATTTTCGACTTTTTTCGGCCGCCTGAACAGTCTTAACTGACAGATCGACCGGAATATACACACGTTCAGGCAACCGGTCTTCAGTCGGACTGTTCAGTTCGAACTGACAGGCCTGCCGGACCGTGTGTAGCCGGGTTTAGTTACCTTGCTTTTGAAGATTCCAATATTTGACAGCTGATACCGTCTCAACTGTCATATATACAAGGTTGCGCCAGTAAAGCTGGCTACACACGGTCCGGCAGGCCTATCAGTTCGAACTGAACAGTTCACCTGAAGGCCGGTCGCCGGATGGACTGATGACCCTCCAAATGTTCAGGCGAATCTGAAATATTCTTCAGTCTCGATCATCATGATCCATACTGACGATGACGCGTTTCTAGCATTTTTTGGTTTAGTAGTTGCTTTTGGTAAAAGAGATTGGTTGAGAAGAAGGCGCTCATTCTCTCATGTGAATTCGCTAAATGAAGTTGGCTTCAAAGGATTGGCACAATTATCTACGTATGGATAAAGATACATATCTGCAGCTTTTATCATTGGTGGCGCTTTTGATTGGAAGAAAATATACTATAATGAGAGAAGCAATCCCACATCACGAAAGGCTGACTGCAACCACGTGTTTTCTATTTCGCGCGATATGGCTTAAGCTCACTGCTCACTACTGAAACTATCTGAACTGATATCCCAACAGTCCGACCGTACCATACACACGTCCAGGCTTGCCTTTGAGTACGTCAGACTGGCCGGATGAACGAACATATTTTTGATTTTTCTCCGGCCACCTGAACAGTCTTAACTGATAGATCGACCGGAAATTAGGCAATTCAAACCACGTGACATTCAAGATGGCGTGGCGGCCACACATGGGCCAAAAAAAAAAAATATATCTAGTTTCTGCCCGAATTAATAGTTTAGGTACCTAGTCAACAAATATTTTATTAAATAATGAAAATCAAAGTTGTAAGCAAAACTGTATGCAAAATAATTTAAAATACGCATAAAAACATATTCAAAATAAACTTGTTTGGCCGCCACGTCACATTGAATTTTCCTTTTTGACAGATGGATTGAATTGCCTAATATATACACGTTCAGGCGACCGGCCTTAAGTCGGACTGTTCAGTTCGAACTGACAGGCCTGCCGGACCGTGTGTAGCGGCTTAACCTGGATTTGGAAAATGAAGCAGTTTTTTTCCAGGTATTTTGGCCCACAAAAAATGGCGGTTATGGCAATTCAATGCTCTACCTGTATTTTGGTGCCAAACACCTGCCAAAAACTTAGCTTCACTTTAGTTTCATAAGCAGAATGGCGCGTTCCTACTCCTCATGTCCGTAGGACAGCGCTTTACCTGCTCTAAGGTTGCGCCCATGGTAAAAAATGTTGCTGACAGCATTCCCAATAACATATTTAAATTTCATCCAAATATCACGGGTAACCAATTTCCATTTAAATATTGCGGGGTCCTTTCAACCCTTGGTCTCCTACCGATTTTAAAACCAATCTGCCTGAGGCAGTTATTTAAGATCATCCTATTGGAAGATGGTACTTTCAATCCAAAATCTCGAGAAAATAATTAAAAACGCATTCAGAATATTCTAATTTAAAAAAATAGAAGATTGCTCTACAGAAAATGACTAAGAATTCATGCACCCCTTATTCGTGTCCAACTTCGTCAAGTGTTTTGCCAATACTGCCAAAACAACTAGAAGCCAAATCAATAGTTTATTACATTTTATTGATTACAATAATTAAAACAATAATTAACAAAACAACAAATGGAACGGAAAGGTGCAAATAACCACAAGACCTCCTCCAATAGTAAACCACAGAGACAAAACAAAATTACATTTTTGCGGCCTTAAAATACTAAATACCTACGAATTTTTTTTAAATATAAAAAAATAATTTCGTCTTATAAAAATATACCTACATTATAAATTTGATTCAAGAATGTTTAGTACGTTTTTAAACAGTATAATATTGCACAGAATATGTATAGTATATTGAAATGTATTATTTTACGTATAAATGAAAAATAAATTGCAATTTGATATAGGCAATTTAGTTGGATACATGGCAGTTAAAATATTAAATTTTTCTCGACAAAATCTTTAATTTTAATGACAAACCGTTCGACGGCGAACCAAAAAATTGGCACAATACATTTTTCTCAGTTAATATAAAAACTGAAAAAGTTTTGACTAGCATAATTTAAGCCACATTCCCAACATTATAAGCCACCACAGTAACGTGATCAAGTTTGCCAGGTAAGGTTTGCACCCTCTCTAACCCTTTTTTTCTTCGCATTTTCTTTTCTTGATTGGTCACTTCAACTAAAACCCCATTTCGATGATCAAAATACATATCTTGATCCTCCAAGGTTCTTCTTTTAGCTGACGTAATGCTCAAGGTGAAACTCACAAGACTTTCACAAAGTTTTTTGGCTGTAGTTATTGGTAAATCTCTGCCCGAAATGCCATTTCTCAAAATATCTTCCATGAGAAGTAATTGGAGTTCATACCTTTGTATTGGGGTTACGTATGGAATGCCATCGTCGTTTCTCAATATTTGAACTTGATTATGGGTAGATCGTAGATCCAATGAAGTTTTTGATTTCAGAAACTTATAGCCTCCCATTGAGCGGTTGGAGTCTAAAGTTTTTGGAATTGATTTTGAGGGAGGTGTGATTTTTCTTGTAGTTTCTTGTCGAAGTTGAGTTGAGGCCTGTTTTCTAAGGCTGCTAGCTTTGTTTTCAATAACAGGGGGTATTTTTTTGACTGGCTTTGGTTCTTCAAGTGAATTTTCTCTCAGAAAATGAGCTTTTAAGGGGTCATTTAGCTCAGAAGATTTAGGTTCATTTGAATTGTTTTTAACATCCTTTTCCACTGACGAACTAGATCTTTCCGATTGACTAGTACTTGATATGGAACTTCTGTTTTTGGTTCTTCTTGGAGGTTTTACTGGAGGCTTTTGTGCCAGAGGTTCAGTTTCGGGTTTACGAATATCACTAACTGTTTGCACTTTATGTTCTGGTTCTTGGATTTTTTGTTGACTAGCTAGCACTCCAGTGGAGGTTTTTTTGATTTTACTTTTAGCAGCATCTACAGAGGAGTTTACTGTAAATTTACAAACGTTTGGGTCAAAATTGTCTGTTAATCCATCACTAGCAACCATAACTATGTCTCCTTTGTTTAGAGTGGTTATGGATAAAGTTAGGTTGCTCAGTTCTGGATTAATTCCGTCTACGGGGCCTAAAGCTCCTAGAGCGTCACGCATGTCTCTGTTACTATTGACATCATGAGAACCTAGAAATTTATTTTGAGTTATAAAGTTTTTTTTTAGAAATCTTTACCTTTTGTTAGTTCCCTAATGCCATGTCTTTGTGAATAAACATAAGCCAAAGTGTCGCCAACATTACAAACACAACAAACATAATGTGGCTCATTAGATCTGACACTAGTTTCATTTCTCTGAGGTAATTTTTGTTTAAGAGGTAATATAATTGCTACTGTAAGCGTGGTTAACATACCCTGGAAAAAATGGTATATTTTACTGTAACATTTTTAAAATGTCTTACCTTATTTTCTAAAATGAGATCGTGAGCACAATTGAAAGCTCTCAACAAACACACAAACACTTCCCTAGTGTTTGCAATAAGGTTTGTCGTTTCATTAGGATTTAAGGGGTCATTACCAGAAGCCGCATCGTCAGTCTTTGTGGTCAGTTTTTCAAACGGTTTTGTGTCGTTAAATATGGTTTTGTTCAAGTAGTGCAATGAGGCGTGCACTGCTGATTTAGCTGCTATACTAGCCTTTTCACCTACAAACGATTGTTAGGAATTTTTGTTTTTTATGATGACAGTTTTTACCCCAGTTTACTCCATCAGCTACAGCTAAAATAGCCGAGTCGCCTCTAGCGATAACACCGAAACAGTCAGCTATAGGATCGCCGTTTTTATGATGCGTCACCTGATTTTGGTCATATAAACTATCAGATACACCATAATAGAATTCAGATTTCTTGTTCCATTCAGAAGGCAGAATTGTGTCATCAGGTAAGGGAACAGAAATGGATTCGTCACCTAAAAAATAGCTTTGGGTGTAGTAGGAACGTTTTAGGTAGCATTATGTATGTTAGCATAATGCTTCTTCTACAAGGCAATACGATGTCTAGTCAATTTCAGCTATGTTGTTCATGCTAATGGATTCATGAGAAAATGAATAGATATGATTATTGGCGAAGAAACTTCTAAAAGCTTTAAGTTAGTAACAGCAAGCAAGTTAGAGATCGGTATTAGGTTAGCTAGCAAATATGGAAAACAATAAATTTAAGCAATAAAATAGACCAATCTAGCACGTAGAACTAATAAGAAAACTATGTAAAATTCCTTAGGAGCAATAGTATAGACCAAATTAAAATTAACACGAAATATATTGCAACTATACCACAATAAACTAGGATGGGAATATTATTCACATGATTATGATGTCTCGTCAGATACTTTGATCTAAAAATCCTGCGAAGAGAATGATTGATGTAGTCGGCAGAGAATCCGGAAAAGTTGCAAGGATACTTGAAAAATAAAGATTTACCATTAAGCAAAAGTTATTCAGTAAAAAAAAATCAGAATTTCGGTTTTTTTAGACTTCGTTCCCTTCTTAAAACTAATTTCAACCTTGGAAGACCGCTACAACAAGCAGATCTTAATTGCTTTGCTTGCTAGTGTAGAATTAATGACTAAAAGTTGAATTTTAAGACACGCAAGGTTATATCCGTTTTAAAATCTCATGTAGTTATATTTTACCCGTATGTGTTGCTCGGACAGGGATTAGAGATAGTAAAATGTTTGAAAGATTTAGGAGTAACTTGCAATCTCCATAATGAAAATATTTGCCATCCATACAGAAATATACTTGTCCTGTTTGGTCCTCAAACTACTAGTTTATATAAATATACTGGACTATACGTTAAGAGTTCCTACAGTGTATCATTCTTGTTTCATTATTACTTAGAAGAATCCAACCGATTTTTAAACGCGTTCACACTAGCGGCGTACACTTATTTTTTTCCAAGGTATTCCAAGACTACACTACACGATTATTCAAAAAATTCAATTTTGATGATGTGACTTTCCCATTTGAGATTTGATGTCACAGGAACTCTGAGATCATTTTGCTCTGCCTGATGCTGTTGAAACAACTTGGTTATTTAGCATGTACGTACTCAATATTTGGATTGTTTTGGCCTACCTATCCTAAGAAAGGTGCACTTGGCTTCATTCAATTTCCTCCCACATGCCCTTGACCACTTGTCAATAGTTTGCAGGTCTTTTTGAAGCAACGCAATAGTTTCCCAAAGTTCTTCATTGATGTTTCTATGAGATCGACAGGATCAAAAAGGTATGATGTGGAAAGCAATGGTCCTACTATAGACCCCTGAACAATGCCACTGCTAACTCGATGTTTATTCGACAAAGTACTTACCATTGACTCATACCTGATAATTCCTTTCATATAACAAATTGGTTTCTCAATTTTAGCAGCTGTCCACATACTCCAGAATGCTCCAACTTTTCCAGCAAAAGATTATGAGGAATTTTATCAAAGGCTTTTTCATAATCGAGGTACCTAAATCTGTTGACTGAGCTTTAGTATGATAATGCTTTTGTCCAATCATCAAGGCATTCGAGCAGGTTCGTTGTAGTGGATCGTTTTGCAGAAAATCCGGGTTGTGATGAGGGTATTTGCCTATTTTCATTCTGTGAGCTCCTGCACAATTATTTTTTCCATTCACTGTAATAGGTTGCATGTGAGACTTATGGGCCAATAGTTTTCAGGTTTGTGTCTGTTGCCTTTCTTGTACAGGGTGCGGTCAAACCTGCAATCTTGAAAAAAGCGCGGCAGCCAAGAAAGTGTAGCGAGTTGTGTAGTTTACAGTTGCGTTCCCCCTTCAAAACATTTTAAGAGCCATAGAATAGTGGTCCAAGCACGAACGGTCTCAGTCAAACCTGCATTTTTGAAATAATTAATTGTAAATAATACACAGCTGTATTTTTCAAAATTGTAATTAAGAAATATTATTTATTTGACGGATTCTCGTCTTCAATTCTCAGCTTTTTAGATAGTCCCAAAAGAAAAAATCACATGTGGTGAGGTCGGGTGAGCGGGCGGGCCAAGGAAAGGAAGTGGCGTTGAGCGGCTGTATAACTACAGCTTTGATAAAATGTATTCACGACGGACAGCTCTTGCTTGGCCCACTGTTCCATGGCTACTAAAATGCTTTGAAGGGGGGAATGCAATGGTAACCTCGACCACTCGCTCCGCCCAATTTCTTAACTCCAGCGCTTTTTTTCAAAATTGCAGGTTTGACAGCCGCACCCTGTATAAAGGTGCTAATATGGAAAGTTTCCATTTCTCCGGGATTCTTCCAAGCTCCATGCAGGACTTGAATCTTTTATTACCAGAATGTGCGTTGCTTGCGAACAAAGCTCACTAATCTCACATGGACTTGGGGGACTATTTCATCCTTAGGAAGGATCGCTCGGGTAAAACAAGCAACAAGAAGTGTTTGGGTGGAGTTTTGTTGGCCATACATAGATCAGTCTCTTGCAGTTCCCTCCCAACTACTGCACCTCTTGAGTAAGTTTATGTAACCATTGGCTACCCAAAAATAAGGTGCATTCTTGGCTGTTTCTACCTACCTCCAGATTCTAAATTTGAACATGACTCAATGGTTTGCGACACAGTTGACAATGTTGACATGATCTCTGCTGAGGAGTATTCAGAAGCTGAACTGTGTGTGGCTGGTCACTTCAACCTGCCTAAGACCAGATGGACTAAAGTGGACATTATGTGCAGTGTATATTCCTTTTGATGATGATTAAGTCTCACCTCAAGCCTCAAGTAATTCAAAAAATTGCTACAATCTCAGATCTTTGTGCTACATAATTTTATTCATAACGCAAATGGAGTTTTTCTCGATTTAGTTCTTTCCCACAACACGCTTAGAGTTAATTATTGTGATCCTCTGGTTCCCATTGATAATCATCATCCACCCCTTTGCTTTGACCTGTCTATCCCGCAATCATGTTAGATATTTGTTGGTACTAGAACCGATTGCTTTTACCGTGATTCTAAATCTGCAGACATTGTATCAATTATCAATTACTTGGGTGCTGTTTGCTGGGATAATCGGTTATCCAATCTGGATGTAGACTCTATGTTAAACACATTTTATGATATTGTCTATAGTTGCTTTGATCTATTTGTTCCAGTAAAAAAGGTACCCAGTGGAAAGTTTCCTAGGTGGTTCAGTCGGGATCTTATAAGTCTGACAATACAAGAGAAGATTGCCCATAAAACCTACAAAAACAGTAGATCCACTCATGACTATGAAGTTTTTGCCAACCTAAGATCACAGTGTGCAGTCCTGTCCCGGGAATGTTATAGGATATGTGACATATACACTGAGCTTATTAGCTTGAATCCTCACAAGGGTCCGGGTCCTGATAATATTAATCTTGTCTTTCTTAAAAATTGCCCCTTTATTCTCCCTAGGCCTCTACACATTATGTTTAATAAATCTTTGGAAAGTTGGTCTTTTCCCAAATTCTGGAAAACAAGTTTTGTCGTCCCAATACATAAATCTGGAGACAAGTCCAACACACAAAAAATTACCGGCCCGTTTGTATCAGCAATACTATTCCAAAAATTTTTGAAGAACTTGTAACTAAGTAACCAACAGTTTGGCTTCTGTGTGGGTAAAAATACTGAACTTAATCTCCTTACCTATTCTCACTTTGTATTGTTGGTTTCTGAAAAAGTTGTTTATTACATGGTATTTTGTTTTCCCTATTTGGACTTAACCATAGTGCATCCACTGGCTGGTCGATTTGGAAGTTTGGAGAGATGCTGCTTTTGACTTCATATCCATTCACACTGTATTTGACAAGGATGCAAACTCCTTCCTTCGACTAGTAGTACGCATAAGCAAATATAAATTAAAATCTAAAGTTTAGACACAACGTTTAATCGACAATAAGGAACAATTCAAAAGATCACACTCCCTATAATTTCTGTTGTAATTGCAAATCGTTCTGTCCACAAAAGCTGTGAATCCATAATTCGTTCTGTGCGGGTGCTCATAAAAAAGTTGATGTCTGGTTCGTCTAATGGGGACCGAAAATAATATTGATTCCAATAATGTGCTGCAATCTATCCAATTATTCAGGATTTTGTAAAGAATCATGAGTAGGGCGTGTTTCCGTCTCTGCTCAAGGCTCATCATCCCACACAGCAACAGTCTGGTTTCATAAGGTATTCCAGATGAAGGAAAGCGGTGTTTATATAGTAGGTATTTTAGAAACCTGTTTTGGACGTTTTCTAATCTATTAATATGGATGGTATAATGTGGGGACCAGATGACGGAGCAGTATTCAAAAGTGCTGCATACAAGAGCGTTGTAAAGACATATAAGTGCCTTTGTGTTGTTGAAGCCAAGCAATCTGCAGCTTTTGACAACAATATTATCGATGTGCAGGTCGTTGATGAATTCCACATTATCAATTTGTTGACCACCAATGTTATATGTTGACATGTGAGGCATGTACTCTTGTGTAATGTTATTGATTTGCATTTGGTTGGATATGTTGATTTTCAGTAGGTATAAAGAACACCAATAAGCAAATCTGTCGAGATCTGGTTGCAGTGAGTTGGAAACTCCATTCCTAACATTGTAAAATTTAAGGTCATCAGTATACAGGAGAAAATGCGAGGAATGGAAGCAGAAGCAGTGGCGGCTCGTCGTATAAAGCAACTGAGGCCGGGCCTCACATGTAAAAATTACAATAATAAAGTAAAATTTTGAAATAATATTTATTAAATATTTAACGTTTTTCAACTATTTTCAATCATTAAAAGAATCAAAACATCGAATTTTCATTAAAATATAATACTATTTCTTGAATCTAGCGCGCGCTTCTACCTATTTATCCTTATAGGCGCTCAAATCGTTGCCGGACAGCATTAAAATAAAATAGCAATCCCAAAAATTTTGGCCTCATGTGCGTCACAGAACGCCGAAGCGATGCCACGGCACTCCCCACCACAACGCTTCAACTGTAGGTGAGACGATAGCGAATTTTTATAGGCATTGAGGCGCACAATTTTGGGCTTGTTAATAAGAAACCTTGCATCGCTTGCTGCTGCGACAAGTATTTAATTGGTTAATTGGCTCATATTTTTTATTTTGGTCTGTTGCGGGTTAAAAAACTGTTTTTTGGAATTTATTTTGTTAATTTGAAACTCAATATTTGTATTAAAATAAGAATTAGGTAGCTACTGCTGTTGTTTTGCAACTGTAAGAAATGAAAATTTTCATTAGAAATATACAAAAAAAAATATCCGAGATGTTCTTTTGATGAAATTTTGGGTCAAAATTTGGGCGTAACACTTGAAAATTTTGTTTGGGTTTGTTTGGGTTAACTTGATGGGCCATGGGCCTCACCAGTTTGGATTGTCACGAGCCGCCACTGAGCAGAAGGAAACATCGTTGAAACAATAGGAAAAGAACAGGTCCCATGTGTGATCCTTGGGAAACACCCGAGGTGACGACGTTTTTTGAGGAGTAGCCACACACTCTCTGGGTTCGATCTCCAAGATATGATTTGATCCATGCTAAATAATTTCTAGAAATACCAATTTCTGATAGTTTTGTTATACCATTTAGGATATTTATCCGCTCTTTATTGTTTTCTTTGGAACCGAAAGGTTAATACCTTGGTTAATACCCTGAAAAAGGGTTTCATACAAGAGAGTGATCATTGTATCAACGTCGGTTATTGAGGACAAAAAAAGACCAGTTTGCCTGCTCATAAAAGTGGTTAAGTTCGGAGTAATTGGCACAATGAAAATCAAGAATTTGCAGGTATGCCAAGAAAGCAAAGGCACTTGATGCCCTTTCAGGAGCGATTAATTATTCCTGGGAAATAGGAAAATTTCCAAATACTTTAAAGACTGCAAGTGTTATTCCTCTGCATAAGGGTGGGAATCTGGATGAACTTCAAAACTTCAGGCCAATTTCGCTATTATCAACCCTTTCCAAAATTGTCGAAAAGTTGGTTAAAAAGCGGGTCAGATACTAAATTCAGATCAATTTGGTTTCCAAACTAAGAAAAGTACTGATGATGCATTATATAATTTTTTAGAGGAAATCTACTTTGGTTTTAATGCCGGTGAGGCTCTCGCAGCGGCGTTCTGTGACTTATGAAAAGCTTTTGATTGCGTCAGTCATGAAATTCTGCTGTGCAAGCTTCACAAATATGGTTTCAGAGGGAAGTTTTGGACTGATTTCGCTCCTATCTTGAAGGGCGCTCTCAGAAAGTCATCTTTGGTTCCCAAATATCTCAGGCCAATAAGGTCAAGCATGGGGTTCCTCAGGGCCCTGTAATAGGCCCTCTTCTCTTTTTAATGTATATAAATGATCTTGCTTTTGTCAATATTGAGGGTCAGTTCACATTTTTTGCAGATGACACTACTATATTATGGCGTGATTAAAGCGTCGATGCATTAGAAGAAAAGGTTTCTTCAAATCTTCCAAAAATTAAACAGTGGTGCGATGCTAACTTGCTGACTCTGAATGTTGACAAGACCACTATTCTAAATTTTCATTGTAATTTAAATATTCTTTATCTTGGCGGGGATCCTCTTTTGGCTAAGCCTGGAACTAGGTTTTTGGGAGTTTTTATTGATAAGTCTTTACATTTTGACATTCATATCAATAACCTCATGAAGAAAGTGGCTTCAGAATGTTATGCAGTGCGCACATTATCAAGGGAGCTAGGCAATGCTCTGGCGAGAAGGGTTTACTATGCTTTGGTGGAATCTCATTTGCGTTATGGTATTGTATTTTGGTGAAATGCGAGTAATAACCTAGTACATCCTATTTTTGTTCTACAAAAACGTGCCATTCGTTATATGTGTAACGTAAATAGTAGAGAATCATGCAGGCCTCTATTCAAATCTAAAAAAATTCTAACTCTTACATCACTGTTTATTTTGGAAACGGTCTGTATGATTTATAAGCGTAGGGATGTTTTACCAATGCCCAGTCATTTGTATGGCACTAGACGGTCACACTATTCAAGCGTGCCAATTCCTTCCTCTGCCTTAGTTAAAAATTCAATTGTTTATGAGAGTCGTAAGATCTATAACCACCTACCTGAATATATAAAGCTTTATCCCACCCTCGCAATTTAAGAACTCGGTTAAAAGACTTTTGGTGGAGAGGGCATATTATGAGTTGGGTGACACTTTTTAACTTTTAACTTATTTGGAATATATTATTGTATTTTTTGTATAGTATTTCAATTTGACTATTTGTATGATTTTTATTAATTGTAAGTTTTATTGTATTTTTAAACCGTTTTACTTCCTTCTGTTGAGTATTGATTTGGTCTCTCCTGTTCATCTGTTGCTTTTTAAAATTAAAATTTTATCTTTTTTTGAAGTTTACCAATATTCATGTTAGACTTAGACTTAGTTGTGTTTGCTTGTTTTATATTTTATATTTTGTATGTTGACCTTAGGACCTGTAATGTTTGAATCTATTTTGACCTTTATTATTGCACTTATACTTATTATGTAATACTTTTTAATTTTTTTATTTTTTTTATTAGCTTTGTCAACAAAACTTGATTTTATGACAATAAAGCATATTTTGATTTGATTTGATTTGAAGGTAGATCTCCTTAATTTATCTTCGAATGGGTTGTAACCAGAATACAGCAGGGCATGTACTTAATCTTATACAGGGTGGCCCATCGAAAAGAGTCCAGCAAGGTTTACGGCTTTGTCTGTGAAAATTTGAAAAAAAACTCTCACGGGGGACACTAACCCAAACTAACCTCATCCCCCTAGCAGGGGTGGCTACTGCCCTTATTTTTTCAAATGGGCAGGGTATGTTATGATACATCTTTTTAAAGGGCATCAAATTCTTACACTCTGTACCTATTGTTATTATTACACAGTCAACCAAATTTCTCAGGAAGAATGTCAAATGTCGTGTGATTGAGATGAAGAGAGTTTAGGTGATTTTCAATGATTTTTTGAAAAATATAGAGGCATTGTTACCTTTTCAAGCTAGGCAACGACCTGCAAAAATCATATGCTTCTATTGCCAATAAAGTTGAAAAATTGAAAACTAGGAAACCATAATTATCAATAGTATAATAAACAGTTTTTTAATTACTAGAGCAAATTAGCATAGTGGAAAAAGTTAAAGTTCTCTAGATGAATAAACACATCAAAAATATTATCAAACAGCATCAACCTTCAGAAAACAATCCAACTCAATCAACCCAAATTAAGTTCGCTATTAAAAGTTCATTAGTTAACACGCAAATGTTAGTCTTCAAGCACAAAGCATCTAAAAAGTAGGTCAGTTCAAGAGCTTATTAGTATATCAATTCTATTATAATACAAAGCAGTTTTATTGAAACAAATTAATATTTATTTGGTTCAACAATGCAGTGCAATAAGTCCATGCAACTGTGCGGTGTTATTTCAAATAAATGCAATATACTCAAATAATTGCAAAATAAAAATCCCATGCCAATAAAACACAAAATACCCCTATGGCTCTGCTGTCGCTGCACTTGGATGATTTTTCCTTTCTTTTTATTATGAAATGGATTTCCATCACTCCGTGATTTGGATAATGAATAATTTTGACCTTTTTTTGCTTCAACTGTCTTACGACTTGAATCCATAGTCTTTGGTATATTTGGGTTAATATTAGTAACAGATTTCTGTTTAATTTTAAGATTATGTTCCTCTTTCCTTACATTATTAGTATTTACATTAGTAGACACATTTTCTTTTGGTGTAGTACCTTGGAAAGCACAAGTGTTATCACATTTCCTTTGATTCTCTTTGCACCGAGTTATTTTACTATTGGAATTTTCATCACAGTTATAAAATTCTTTGTCAATCTTTGTTTTTTCCACTTCGATATTGAAATCCGAAATACTACCCAAACTATAGCTTTTACTGTGCCTCTTGGGCTTGTTGGTAACACAATATTCATGCCCTGCCACTTTTATCATCATTGTCGTATTGTCAATGGGTTGACCCGATACTCTTTTTGGGGATTTTTTTGGTATTGGTTGGGGTACTGAAAGGAATTTATTTTTGTTTTATGAAATTTTTTAGTGCAAAAGTACCAGTAATATTAATTATTAGGCATGTATTTACATGCGGTTAAATGGAAAGTAACCTTGCCAGAAGAAAATAATAATAATGTACTTATGATCCAACAAATAATTCTTATTTTTGTCGAGTCATTTATTGTTTATTATAAATTGAAAACACTTACCAGGATCGTCGTCCTCAGGATTATCAATAAAATCAATATCATCGTCGGGAACTGATAAATGCTTCTCTGTACGTTTTACAGTTGTAAGGCCTCCATTAGGGCCTGAATAGCACCCAATAATGGTATTGGGACCGCTGTCGTATTTGCCCAATTCATAATTGGGCAAATCGGTTGGGTTTTTGCCATAAATTATTGGTGGACCTTCTGTTAATGCTATACTTCTATTAAACAGATAAAACACGTTCGGATATTAAGTTGAGTAATTCTAAAAACTAAAACTCACCCTTGTAAATATTTAGTGACAAAAGCATTTTCGTTAACATTATTCTTCTTGTCTCTGGGTTCATTATGAAAGCTCAATTGCCTCAAATATGTGGAAACTCTTTTCCTAAGAGATGGCATAGCTAAAACAAATATTTATGTAAATATTTACAAAATCCAAGAAACAAAACATAACATAACCTACCTCCAGTTCTCAACTATTTAAATCAAATTGAAATTGATGATTATGTGAAATTATGTTACACATTTATTTATTAATGCTTTCTTAACGGTTAGACGGTTAATAATTGAGTAGATAATTGAACAGTAATTTAGAATCGCTAAAAATACAGAAGGTCACACCCGTAGGTTTCCCTATTCGATTCGCTCGACTTGGCGTATGATTTGATTCGATTTGATTAGTGTGGAGAAGAGAGAGGAGTCTCTTGGCTGACAAGGGACGCCCAGCGTTGCCAGATGATATCTAGCAAAAATCCTAAGAATTGAAGCAGAAACTGCTTAAGTGCTTAATATCGTAACAAAATAAAGCACAATAATGCTGTCTATTCTACCTACGAGCCTCGTAGGTGGAATAGACAGACAGCATTCTTGTGCTTACGAGCAATACGAGCGTACGCAAAAGTTCACTTTTTTGCACACCTATATGGATGAGAGAATATGTACTTATGTGGTGAAGTACTTTACAACACGTGTGCGTTAATAGTTATTACATTACAAGTGCTTTATGAACATAATTACAATAACAAGCGTGAAAGATTAGAACGACGAGGTCGAAGACCGAGTCGTTCTAATCAGACGAGTTTTGTAGTATGCATGTTTAAACGCACGTATGATGTACATCGTTTTATCTACAAAGCGAAAAATAAAAATGTTTTTTCAATCAGTTTTGTTTATTAGTCGTTGTCTACCTCCATTTTACCTTTACAGGTTTAACTTTGACATTTGTTAAATCACCAAAAATAGTTGTGTTATGGATTCATAACCTAGTCCATAACACCACTAGTTGAGTTATGAATTCATAACCTATAGTCCATAACACCACTGTTCTGTTATGAGTCTCACGACTCAAATACTAGAAAAATGGTCATGTAAAAACGTCATAACCAAACGCTTGTAGATAAAGTACTTTATCCAACACATGACAGTTATGACTGTTATTATTAATGTCATTTTAGACAAGTGAACTATCAAATAACACACTAGTGTGTTATAATCCATAACTCACTAGTGAATTAAAGGAAAACTTTAACGGTTTATTCGAATTTGAAGTCAATGTAAAATTCGTTGGTTCATTGGAACCAGACGCTCCCATATCGGTACAGCTGCTGATAGTGCTGGAAGACGCCGACGCATAGAACCTTGTATTTTTTTTGTATTATCTCATAAAAAAAAAAAACGATTTCTTCTACTTGTTGAATAAAACATTGTATGACACTCGTGTGTTATGTTTCCTAAGTCACTTGAGAATTTATACATTTATTTATATAAATCTTTCTCGCGTGACTTATTTTCAACATAACACACTAGTACCATATAACTATTATCTCCCACTGAACTATTATAACCATACCTATACCTATAATAATACCTATTATAAGCAAACCTTGGTTAGGTACGATAATCATAAACAGGGTCTTAACTCCGGCGCGGGGTTTAGGATTCCATAACTCCCGTGCGGGAGTTGAGGATTTCATAATTCCCGCTTTTACCTTGGATAGGTACAACTTTGAGAAAAAATAGAAATTTTGGTTTATGGTTTATTCCTTAATAAAAATGGACAAAATACAGTAAATTTATAAGTAGGAAATAAAATTATCAATGTACCACGAGAATTATGAGGAGCTAATACCCACGGGCAATTGATTGTGCCCTCGGGACACAAACTTTTCCCTGGTGTATTGACACTTTCATAATGCCCTTGATACATAATAGCTATTTATGTATTAAGGGGATTATGTAGATATGTATGTATAATCAGTGGCGTAGCCAGCCTTACGGGGCGGAGGGGGCAAACATATAAGGGGCGCATAATTCTTTATTTTTGGGGGGGGGGGGGGGGCGGAAGGGTACAACAAATGAATGTTTGTATGCTTTTGTAATATGTGCTTATTGGGGGAAAATATTAAAGACGAAAAGCCTGACAGAGGCGAAAAATTTCCTCGAGTGCCACGCCCAAAAAAGTTTATTTTAAGCCTTCAAAAACATTTTTTTTTTCGGGTGCCACGGTGCCAGGCCGAAAAGCATTTATGTATTTTAAGCCTTACAAGGAATAATGTGTGGACATGCCGTTAACTTCAAAAAATCCTTCCGGACGCCTTGAAAACTAGAACAAATCCGGGGAAATCTGGACGGATGACAGCCCCACCCAACCCAGCAACCCATAGTTTAGGCGGTTACACACGGACGTGGATGTCTGAAAACATGTACGCACATACATGAACGCGCAAACAAAAACATCAATGTGTATGCAAAATATCGTCGCGTTTTTGAATGTGCAATTTTGTATGCACACTCGGAATACTGTAGCAAGAATAGCAAGACTGCAGTTTTGTGCGAGTGTCTGTACAGAAGCGCCATGCACGTTGTTGTCTGCACGTTGATGTATGCACGTATATGTATTAAGACATCCACGTCCGTGTGTAACCGCCTTATGCAAAATACCGCGTCGCGTTTTTGAATGTGCAATTTTGTATGCACATTCGGAACACTGTAGCAAGAATAGCAAGACTGCAGTTTTGTGCGAGCGTCTGTACAAAAGCGTCATGCACGTTGTTGTTTGCACGTTGATGTATGCACGTATATGTATTAAGATATCCACGTCCGTGTGTAACCGCCCAATAGCAAGACTGCAGTTTTGTGCGAGCGTCTGTACAAACGCGACATGCATGTTGTTGTTTGCACAATGATGTATGCACGTATATGTATCAAGACATCCACGTCCGTGTGTAACCGCCTGTTAATAAACAAATATTACATCAATCATCAAAACAGAAACTATCACTTTTCCTTTGATTGAACTGAACCATTTGCCGACAATGCTGACTTACGATAAAGAATAAAAGGTGAAGATGAGGTCGATAAAATAAATAAGAAACAGCAACATTTTATTTCTTATTTTTTGCTTTTGTTTTTTAAGAGCGGTAGGGGCGCCACACGTGTAGGGGCGGGGGGGGCCGTCGCCCCCCCTGCCCCCCTACTGGCTACGCCACTGTGTATAATGCCCGAAGGCGAAACTAGCCCGAGGGCCTCTGGCCTGAGGAATATATTTCGCCTGAAGGGCATTTTAATCTAATAATCCCCGTGGTGCATACATTTTCTACTCAAAACAATGTTCTTTCATCAATTAAGTATCAAACAAAATCAATTAAACTTGTGTGACAGAATATTGTTTTGTATTTTGACATGTACTTGTACCTGTGACCTGTACCTAGAAACGAAATAAATTAATATACCCATAAACATCTCATAAGGCAAGGCTACGGTGGTCGTGTGGGTTAACGCACTTGACTACATGGGAAACGTTGATGGTAGACCGGGTTCGAATCCTGGCCAGACCGAAAATTATTTTCGGTCGGACATTTAGTGGCTGCTTAGTGCTTAGGGTAAAATGCAAACTAATAAAACAACAACAACAAAAACACCTCATGGTATTATGAGCGGGCGTTATAGATCATAACGCCCGCAAAAAGCGGGCGTATGGATCATAATGCCCTCAGGTTGTTATGGGTATGTTCAGTATGTTAACGTATTTCGTTTCCTAGGTATTATGGATCTATAATAGTTAAGTAGAAAATAAATAGCTATTACAAACACGTCTAAGGTGTAAGTAGTTTTACCTCAGCGTAAGTAGAAAAAAAAATGCTGAGACAAGCAATAATAGGTGCACACTGATTCGTGAGAAACAACCAAAGCCACAGAGGGACTTCAAGTGGGAATTCGCATTCCTGAAGTAGAAAACGGAAAAAATGTCCGCCGGAACCCATTCAAGCCAAGAAGTCGAGGCTCACGGATTAAGTAAGTATCCGACCGAACGATCTACAAACTGCTGAAGAAACAACTTCTATTGGAAAAAGTTGGAAGAAAAAATAATTTCGTTTTGAGGTGAGAAAGAAGCATGAAGATCGTCAAAGTTTTTTTTCAGGTTTTTTTATTCACCCCCTTCTTCTTGAGGTGCCTTGTCTCCTGTCTGTCTTCAGACGTAGGGCATCATCATGCCTACAATTTCCTGGAATCTTTCCTTAGTTACCTAAACTAGAACAAGCCTCAAATGAGAATAATCCTCAACCTAGAGGCTGCCGCGTGAAACAGTTCTTTATACGTAACCGTAACATCACGCCATGGTAACATCACGCCACTGTCTGATTGCGTAGTGATAGCTTTTTTCGCCCTGGCCCTATCCACCTTTTGCCTTCCCTGTACCTATTATTAGGCACTCCAAACCAAGTAATTTTTCAATATGGCGACTGTGGAAAAGTTGACGTTTGTTTGTTTATCTTGAGTTTATTTGGAATATTTTCAAGCTAATTACAGTTTACTTTGTTATATTATAATTTTCGAGATGCAGATTGAATATTTAAAGACTTAAATGCAGGAAAATCGGGATGTGGGCGAACGGTTAGTTTGAAAAAATGTCCAGTTGACATTTTGACCCAAAGTTTTCACATCAATGAGCAAATGAAGGCCTACAAAAGCTTAGATTCTTACAAGTATTTCGAGTATTGCTTTATTCCAGATGCAGGAACAGTGGTAGTGAATAATTTTCACGTTTTAATTGGAAAAGTTCAAAACGGTGGGCACTGAAAACAACCTGACATCATCCTTGTAGAAATGCATTCGAAAATCAACTACAGGACACCTTTGTCATTGTGGCATTTTTAATTAGAAGAAACCCTTATGAAGTCAATAAAATAAAAAAATAAATAGGGTTTAGTCACAGAACAATACCATACAATGCACTTCAAAAAGCTTTAAATTCTGTACTGTCATATACGGAATAATGAACTGCCGCCCCGGACGCCATTTTCACAGAACGCCATTTTGGAATAGTTTATGCTTCTACTTCTACCTTTCACTTAAAGCTTTTGTTTATACTACCTTTTGCTTAGAAGCAAATGCTCTGCTATTTTTGTTCATACGGCTGTCTCAAGACCCTTTTTACGAAGGTGCATTGACACTTTTTATTACCTACATATAGTTTCCAATCTATGTCATAAAGTCTTTGCGTGACATTTCTTCCCCCTTCAGCAGAGTCCGTATTCATATTCAGTAAGCTGCCCAAGTACTTGAAATCGTTTTCGCGCTCTATCTCCTCTTCATCGACCCAAATCTGCCGTTGATGTACATTTATTTTTCCGATCACCATCCACAATATTTTGAT